TCATCCAGTCAAAAGAAATCAACATAAATGGACGTCATTTTACTAAAAAGCACATCCCTTATGTCCCTATAAAAAGGACAGTAACATAAAAAATTAATCTCATCCACAAGTCTGCCCTCCTCTTGAGTGGCATTAAACCTAAATCAGTAATATTCTGTCCAACTGCAGCAGTAACATACATGGAGATACAACTTTGAACATTTCACATCCGTCCTCTTAAACAAGAATCAGTAGGCAGCTGTAACAAGCATATAAAGATACAGCTAACAGCAGGTTAGCTTAGCTGGAAAAAGGGAGACACAGCCAGCCTTGGACTGGTGCAAAAACCAAAGTGTGAAAACAAGTTGTGGTTTTCCAAGGATTTATATTCCAGACTGTTTCTTGGCCGAGCGTGGTGTCCTCTTGGAGTCTCGTCCAGGAAATTAAGGCACCCAGCCCAATATGTTGAACTATTACTTTAAGGGGAGCCGTTAGGGTTACTGGACAGTCTCCTTGATCAAAGCAATCATTCAAGATCCTCCTTGATGCAAATCCTGAAGGCTTTGAGGGGAGGGCCAAAACTATTTGTTACGAACACTCTTGGGGACTTCAGTTAAATGTGTCACAATTAGATGGTTGAAACCTGAATCTCCAACATACAACATCTGGATTACAAAAGTATGGGAACTGTATGAGATGGAACAAATCACATTAGCATTTAAGTTATAAAGATCCTGCAATGTATCTGTCGTTGTTGTTGTTGCTGCAATATTCTGAAAACCATATCCCCACGTTATGATGTCAAAACTGTACTGCATCTAAGGAATGATTAAGCAAAATTAAAACATAATTTGAAAAGAAAAGATCACTCAACATAATGAAACCAAAAACATGTTTTTTAAAATGCAATTTAGCTTAGGAGAGACACCTAGAAGTTGCAAGGATGCACTGAAGTTACCTCAGGAGAAAGTTTCTTCAGCTCTGTAAAGTAACACTCTCTTATATCTCACTATCACCAGGCCGCGGCTCCCTGTCTGATGAACATGGCGGTGTTGTGTCAGTTCTGTCCAAACAAGCTGCAGCTCTCACCAAAGACCCAACAGACAGTCCAACTGTGTGCCTGGAGTCTGAGTCAGGGTGAGCACTGACACAACCTTCCGTCTTTTTTGCCTGACTGACTTACATCTCCTCCTTTTTCTTCTCCCCCTCAGTGGATTTAGAGGGGTCTGTCCGCAGTGGTTTTGATTAACACTTGTGGAGATCAATAAATCTCTGAAAAACTGTTGAAAGGATCCACAATCAAAGATTGAGCTTCTGTTTGTCCCTCAGACGGTGCTCCATGTCTTGGCAAAGGAGTTTAATTTTCATTTGCGTGGTTATGCTGCCACCTTCTGGACTTAACAGAACATCCTCTGGTTCACTGCTATCTGTGACTAACTGACACAAATACTATTATTATGATTAGTAGTAGTAGTAGTAGACCAAAGTCATATTGAATGTTAGACCATATAGTGACTGTAGATGCTGCTTTGTCTTGACTCATAGGCCACTTCCTAAGTATGGCAGCATTACATTATCTGCTGACAAGGTGGAAATCAGTGATACTTAACTTGCTTTGCCGGGGGTCACTTTTGCAAAATGACAAGAGGTCGGGGGCCAGTTAATAAATAAACAATAATAATATTTTTCTGATAAAATAAATACACATTATATATAAAAGCTAAATTAAAGGCAAATTAATTGTACATTTTTCATTAAATTGCCTGTTTTCATCCTTTTAACATTTACTGCCCTCGCTCATCTTTGCCAAGAGGCAAATCCAGACAAGCAGCCCTGCTCAGGTCAGGGGCATTTCTAGGATCTGAGGAAATTCGGGGCTTAGCCTGAACTTCTGCCGGGGGTTCCGAGGATCTTTTTTTTTCTTTCATAAACAAGTTCTATTTAGATGCTGTTTTATGCACTCTGGCTCCTTGTTTACATTCAAAGTGCAGGAAGAAAAAAATCCAGTGTGAATCACTTTATTTCCACTGGGAATTAGAAAACTGTATGTCGGTTGGCCACCTGACACCCTATCGCGGGCCAGATTTGGCCAATGAGCCGTACATTGAGTATCACTGGTGTAAATCTATGACTTGATGACTGGGACAGATAAATGTCAGACAAATACAAACAAAATGTGACAGGCTGTTAATGTTATAATGTTATATCACTGTGGGTTGAAAGTGGAGTTTAAAGGCAGACATTCAATATTTTCAGATATATATATGTTATTTCTAAATAAGACATTTATGCCAGGGCTGCACTGAGTCTCAGTTTTAGTGGGTTACGGTGATTTTTGCATTTCATTTTCACCGACAAAAAAATGAAAATGATGATAATGATGTGTTTTTTGCAGGGGCTAATGTTACCTTCTGTCTGGAAATAGATTTGTAGGCTGGGATATCTCTGTGGCACCACAATGCTTCATTTATAATGATATATTGTAACACATTTTACCTTCATCGAAAAATTGCAGCACCTGCGATCTGGATATCGCACTTAACCATTTTGGGATTTTGATAATAATATGATAAATTGTGCAGCCCTAATTTATGCAACAAAAACAACTTTATTATTAATAGGTTGGGACTATTACTGATGTCCAAGATGATGAAGTAATTGTTATAACATCACCAATAATAATAATGGATGTTGAGGGAATTTAGGTTAAAGACTGTAGTAATGATTAGTATGCATAATATTGGAGGTCAAGGGCAGACAGGTTGATATGATTTATCAAAGGTCAGTATGTGCCATTCACAGATATCTTTAAAATAATCTGTTTGTCAGTCGTTGCCAGTTTGACTGATCGGACTGATTGTTGTTTATCAGTTGAATATTTGTCTCAGTGAATTGTTTCTGTCGGACTGTTTTGCAGAAACATTCTGGTGAGGAGTCACGGGACCATCACAGTAGCCGTTCACAAGATCGCATCATGAAGATGACATGGAGGAGTTTTACTGTAAAGAAATGTACATGCAACCAGACACAGAGTGTAATCACACACTGTAAATGAACTTTGAGAAACATCCTCAGTTTGCGAGAGCAATCTGGAGTTTGTGTGTTTGCTGTATGAATCAATTATTTAAACCAGAGCCGGCTTTCTCATTTTCTAAAACCTGGGGTGAGATTGTTTTCTTTTAAATAGACATAAATATACACCAATCTGTCAGGAATGCTATTTTATTGATGTCATGGACGAATTAGGCACTGTATCATGTTAGTGTCAATCATGTCAAAGCTTTGTGTGTCTTTTTGTTAACACTCTTTAATCCAAGGCAGTCATGCACAGAAAAACAACCCTTAATAAACTTTAACTTGACTTTGTGTCCCCCGCGTCTGTGTTAAGTATTCATTGTTTTCTCCTTTGCTCAGTGTTGTCAACCAGTTACTTTTCTTTGGCACCTGTGTGATATTCATGCAAGAAAAAATTTACAAAAGAGGTTTCAGAGTTGGCAATCATTTATTTAAATCTGTTATGAATACCTCCAAGATGTATGTGGTGGCAAGGGTGTAGGTTTCATTACAAACACTTAATTAGGGTCCGTGCAGCTAAGCTGCCTGGACACTGTTGTAATCCTAGGTATTCTTCTTTTTTCTTCTTTCTTCTTTCTTCTTCCGAGGAAATCATACTTCCCATGGGTGAAAACTCACCAAACTTTGCACAAAGGTCCAGTCTCATGCCAGATATCCTCAACTGTAAACTCAAGCCAATAGTCCTGATGGTGGCGCTACAGCAAGCGTCTAAAGTTCAAAACTTTGAAAATTCATAACAAATCAACCATACGTGCTACAACTTCACAACTTTCATCAAACTGTAGCCCCAATACTGAAGAAACTTTTGTACATTTAAACCTTCTTAAAACTTCTTAAACCTATCTCCTCCCGCAATTTTTGCTCAATTGACACCAAACTTGCTACAGAGCATCTTCAGACTGTCCTACAAAAACTATGTTTCTCAGATTTTTGATTTATCAAAAATTGAGCCTACAGTGCATCAAAATGTTTGACTGTAAACTAAATAGATCTTCAATGTTGATGAAAAAATGACAACATTCTAGAGTCATGGTAGATGATGTGTGGCAAATTTCAGAATTTTATCTCAAAAACTGAATACTAGACTATAATTTTATTTTTTAATTCTGTTGAATTTTTGTGCCTTTTCTGATGGATGAATTACTGAGTGGGCCAACCAAGCACAATCCCAGGGGCCCAAAGTGTTGGTCTTCACCTGCAAAATGTCACTCAATTTAACACATGATGTTACCGCCCATGAAGAGACTCAACATGACGACAAAGAGACACAAAGTAATTACTGAAACGGTGGAAAAAGAGACACAAAACAACAATAAAAGAAGCAAAACCACACAAAGTCTGTGTGTCTTTCTCCTGTGGAGTAGAGGCGGGGGCCCTTTTGTTTATCTGTGACCAGGGGCCCATTGTCTCATGATCCGCCCGTGCTTTTCTGCAAGTTATGGTGTAGATATCTTTAATTCTGTCAAGATAAAGCTCCTCTGCTCCTTTCATATTTATAGTGGAGGGTGAGGAAAGACAAATGCACATATTGTAAATGCTTTAAACCTATGCCTGGCGGAAGAATCTCGCGCATATATGGATGACAGGAGCATGTAGTAACAGGTAACTGTGCAGCGTCAGGTGTTTGCAGGTTTTCATACACACTTGACTCATATCTGGGTGAAGGCATGTCAGTGGGAGGAATTCCTGCAGGAATCAAAAGAAAAAAAACTGTCCGTCGCACATGGTCTCCTATCTGCGGTGCAGACTGACAGTGCAGTGCGTCTTGGTGGCGCACTGCCTGTAAGCAGGACCTGAGTAAAGTCTGCGGTGGCTGTGATGTTTTGACCGCAGAGCCTTTTTCCCCCCTCTCCCTCTCAGATGAGGTTCACTGCTACGTCTCAGTCACGTGGCTCTCCTCAGTGAAGGCTTTGCTTTCTGCGGCTCCTCACCAGAGCCAGCGATGTTGAGGCTGAGACGTGAGATGCAACTCAGAGGGACTCGCTCCTAGAGGCAAAGTTATGGCACGGCCATCCCCGGAGAAAAAGGTCCCGCAGCAATTTCTCTTTGCCAAAAAGTCCCTCACCGGTGACGCGCACGCCTTTCTGGGACTCACGACCCCGGAGCGAGAAAACCCCAAATTACGCGTCAAATTAAACTAATTAGAAATTGGGGTAGAAGCGGGTCGAGGATTGCAGGAGATTACAGGTATGGACTTCTTCTTTTTTTACATTTAATTCAACACATTTATCATTTTAAAGTACAACTTTACTGAACAAAAACATTTTTATTGCATTGTAGGTAATTAAATTTATAAATTTGGAAACTTCTCCCCAGTGGGAAATCAAACACAAGGCACCCTGCACACTGTTATCCTCTGTCACCCTCGAAACTTGGTCATGTTTTGAAAACTTTTCGCCCACAATGCTTATCATATGGCACCCAGATGACGTCCTCTTGAAAGTCACCCTAAAGTGTCAGTGTGCCTGAATTCTCTTTCTTGCCTCCCCAGCAGCGTTGAGTCGAGTGAGGGTCACAATGCAACAGGCCTGTCAAGTGAAGATAACAACTAGCTCACAGCCACACATGGTAAGACCTCCCTGTTTTCCCCACACAATAATACGGTTTTGTGTGTGCCTCCGTGGACTAAGCCAAAGGCTCTCAGCTAAACACCCTGCATTTACTACATAATCTCACAATTCCTCAGGACTGATGTCTGCCTTTCCTCACAACTCAGAGCAGGAGTGAGGCTGTGGTCATAGCTGGAGGGCTCCAGGTTGTGAGTTTGGGTGATGAAACAGTCAGGCAAACAGAAAGTTACTTGTAAAAATTTCAGTGACTCCAGTAGCTTCACTCTTAGAGTTTCTCCTTATTTTATCTGCATTGTGGAGCCATGAAGAAATGCAAATTCCTGCAAAAGAGAAGTTGAGCTGAGGAAGCAATTTATAGGGAAAAATAGCTCAGCTGTCAATGCAGAATCTGCACAAAAGCAGGTCATTGGCAGGGTTGGAGCGTGCCCCAAATCCTGATACTATTACCTTGTAATACTGTTGTCAAAATGCTGGATTTTCCAACCTCAACATAATACCTTGAAATATATCAATACCACAGGGAATTACTGACATTAAGGGCATGACATTTAAGTTTTTATTTAAAGATAAAGGCGCAGAGGACAGCAGAATGACTGTAGTGAACATTAGCAATAAGAGAGGGCAAGAAAGCCCAGCTGGTACGGGTGGATTGATACTGCAGAAAATCAGGATTGAAACCATTTTGAATATTCAGAATCAATACGTATCGATAAACAGATATTTTTGACAACACTACTTTGTAAGTAAATGAACATGCTTTTGGCTTCTTCACTTCTGATCACCCACAGAGTCTGAACAGGAATTTTCACCTACAGTCACAACTTTATGAGCAAACTTAACTTCCTGCAGGGCTACATTTTAGGACAACAATGCTGCAGGAGGAGATGTATCATTTTACCAAGTATTGCTCTGTGGTGTTGGTGTGTGTACTGTGTATATAATGGATCTACTATTACAGTGACATCAGCAGATGTGATGTATTCTCAAACTACTCCTTTTTTCTCTTTTACACAATGCAGAGCTGAGTGTTTTCTGCATTGTTGGAGAGAAATGTGTAGCTGTTATGAAAGGAGGATCTTTGTTTGACCCACCGTTTGAACAATTTCCCTGCTCTACCAAGACCTGAGGACTATGACTGGGCAGATATTTAAAGTGTCAGCACTTGTCTTAAAACTGATGAAAAGATTATTAGATGAAAAGAAAAATATTTAGCGAGTTGTCCATCAGTGTCTGTGCTCATACAGCGACCCTAGGCTCCCCTTGCAGCAGTCTGAATAGGTGTTTACCATGCTGTCCAATAAACTAAAACAGAATACGCCCTAGCTGGACAAATCTTTGACCTGTTAAACCTGTAAAAGCAGTCAAGTATGTTTTCTAGAGCACAGCTGTGGAAAAGGTGGGGGGGTGTTCTCCAGCTTTCTGCAGGTGTGGACACTTTTGTCTTCGGCAAAGGTGTAGCAAGAGCTCAGAGGTCAGCAGCAGAAGGACATCTGGCTAACTTGATTGGCGCTTTTAATTTTTTACTTTCATGCTAGTGAGTACACATCTACAGAGCTGAGACTTGGTGGGTGATGTGGGTGGGGGGAGGGGGGCATGTATTCTTGTGTGAAAGTAGAATAAGTAAAGGTTTGAGTGGTTCATTTTGCCTAACAATAATGAAGTTTGAGATTCTTCTGTTAATGAAGCTTTGGGGCGTGTGTGTGTGTGTGTGTGTGTGTGTGTGAGAGGGGGCACCCTGAGCCTGGAGAGAAATATTTGGAGTAGCTGTTACAATTTGGATCTTAATTGTGCAAAACCTTCTTTCCTGCATTGATCCAGCTTAAAACACAGCAGAGAGCCAAAAGAGCCTGATTACTGTGTTAACAAAATTTTTACCACCTTTTGCGACGCCAATATGCAGTAATGCACACTACAGTCTTCTTCTTCTTCTTCTTCTTCTTCTTATTATTATTAGTTTGCATGTTCTCCCAGTGTCAGCGTGGGTTTCCTCGGGGTTCTCCGTCTTCCTCCCACAGTCAAAGGACATGTTAATTAATAATAATAATGGTTGTCTGTCTCCATGTGTCAGCCCTGTGATAGCGGAGACCTGTCCGTGGTCACCCAGTGTCAGCTTGGATAGGCTCCAGCTCCCCCGTGACTCTGAATAGGATAAGCAGGTTACAGATACTGAATGAATGAATGAATTATAAACATGAATGTATAATGAGCTTTAACTTGAAAAGGTGCAGTCTGTCACGATAACTACTTTTGTTGGACGACATAGTGTCTCAGAAAGATTTACAATAAACAATATTATGGTCATATCAAGTGTAAGTGTGTGTGTGTGTGGAGGAGCTGCTTGATCCCCTGCCCATAGTTAAACTCCGACACAGGAAGCAGATGAGAGGACAGAAGCAGCGTGGCGAGAAATGGCAGCAAAGCATGTCTCAGCATAGTTTTTTCCCCCCTGTGCTTTAGCCTCATATGATGTGTCCAAGTGTCATAATGGCTGGGCAGACCCTGGTGTTTGTTGGCTAAAATGTTGATGACATTCTTATGTCAACACAGGGGCAATATCATAAGATAACCTCAGATGACCTCCGTCGTTTTTGCTGACCTCAGTAAATCAATAATGTAATTATCATGACAGGCCTAAAAAGGTGTCGCTTCAGATACTTCACCTATCTGTGTCATGCTGTATCTTGTTGCATACAGTGCCAAACAGCATGCTAAAATAACTAATTACCTACCTAATGCTCAATTCAGCTTTGTGACTGACTTTTCTTTATCACCATACATCTTATTAGATTGCTGGTCATTAGTTTTTATTGAAAAGGGAAACAGAAAAAGGGAGGAGGCAGAATGCTAGATTCTTCTTACTGCTGAACATCTGTACTGCTGACTAAAGCACTATTGCTGCATCCCAGTTCATGGACCACATTCCTACAAGTCTGCATTTGTGGACCCAGTGTGTTAACAGCTCGTGCAGTCAGTCACTTTTAAATACTTTACATAATAGGAGGAAAAGCACAGGGGGGAAAAATCGGAAGTCACATAAAATTTGAATATGTTGATAATTGCAGATGTCACATATGAAGAGAAGTTAAGAAAGGCTATATGGAACACTGTTTTGGTGATTTATGTGCAGTTTCCTGTTGTGACGACCCCCGCTGTGTCTCTGCTCTGCCTGACCTGCTTGTGTTTTCCCCTCCTCTCGCAGGTAGTCGGCTGGCAGTGCAGGTTTTTAGTGAGCTGGCTCACCTGGGATGATGAGCTCAAAAGCCTGCAGTGCTGGCTGGTTCAGTGTGTCTCAGTCTGTTGCAGCTCTCTCAGCTCCCACAGTCCCCTTTTCTCATTTAGCAGTTTGTGCATCCTCAGTTACTTTCCTCGCCTCCTCTTCTCACGTCTTAGCCCCGCCCACCTGAGATGGGAGCAGAGGAGGCGAGGAAGAGACACGGGGATAGAGGAGGAAGCCTTTAGAAAATGAGCTGCTTTGGAGCTGTCATTTTTAAGTGACGTCAGTTAAATATGAAGAGTGGCACAGACGGTGAGGGGCAGAAAGTTTCATCATGCCCCTGCAATGGTTTGTATATTCCAGCTGTGTGTCATGCCTCTTTTATCAACACGGTGCCGAAAACACTTTTGCAAAGGATACACCTGTGCATCCCCATTCATAGGGTGCTTTTCATTATGTGTCTCTGTACATGTGAGAGAAACATGTGAGGAAGAGACGCAAGGACGGAGGAGCTGAAGCTGCCGAATGAGAGATCCTTAGTTCCATAGCATCGGTCCTAAGCAACGTTAGTTAATGGCCACATGTCAAGGTGTGGCATTTATATGCAACGCCACTTGATAAAAGACTTACGTAGGATACACTCCTCACTCTAAGCTCCTCCAAAAGCCTCTTCTCTCCCCGCTCCCCAGAGTGCATTTAAATTATTGGAAGATCCTTTATATAGTGGCGGAGGAGGAACAACTTTTGGGTCACGGGAGGAGAGAGGACTTGAGGAAACATATGTCAGCATAATGAAAACACCCATGCCCCCTTTACAAGCCTCCTCTCTCCTCGAGGAACTGAGACATCTTTCAAGATGGCGAGCTGAGACTGATTTCCAGGTCACAGGCAGGAGGATGGAGCATGCGACATCTTCATACCCTATTTTCCACTCATCCTAGCACTTGCATTCACCTCTGATGTTAGTGATTGTTCACATCTCATTCATTTGTTTGAAGGAATAACACATTTTTGTAAACTTGTGTTGATTGAACTTCTTGTTCTGGTAACTGAATTTGGATGCCAAAGCCTGGTGCAGCTCATGCTCTTGTGTCTGTATGTGGGGATGAACTTTGGTAATGTAGTTCTATCCTCTAAGTGTCAGCAAGTTTGTCCTGGGACATTTCAGTGGTAAGCTTTGGTACGTTTGGGGAGAGGAACCTTGTGTTGCTACTGTGGTGAAGTGTCTTCAATTCCACTTAGGTTAGAATTTTGATTGCTGGAATTTGGAGGCATCCATCAATCCATTTTCAACCGCCTATCTGAGCGGGGTCGCAGGGGCAGCAGGCCCAGCGAAGCATTTCAGATGTCCCTCTTCTCAGCAACGCTTTCTAGGACCTGCGGCATGACCCTGAGGTGTTCCCAGGCCAGATGAGATATGTAATCCATCCAGCGTGTTCTTGGTCTGTCCCGGGGCCTCCTACCAGTTGGACGTGCCTGGAACACCTCCAACAAGTGGCGTCCAGGAAGTATCTTGATCAGATGCCCATACCACTTCAACTGACCCCTTTCGACATGCAGGAGCAGCATCTCTACTCTGAGCTCCCTCTGGATGACAGGGCTTCTTACCCTGTCTGTAAGGCTGAGCCCAGCCACCCCTCTGAGGAAGCTCATTTTGGCTGCTTGTATCCACAGCCTCATTCTTTCGGTCATTTTATATTAGGCAAAGCATTTTTAGTGTGGATGCTTTGTCTCGCTGCAGACAGTTTATCAGTTAATCATAGAGTCATACCAAGGTACAACTTCAGTGAAATGCAATCCTGTCAGCTCCTTTAACCTGTACAAGTTTAATTAATCTTTATAACTGTCAATGTTTTTACACAGGCTGCAGTGCACTTACTGTAGTTAAGCACTTTGGGTCACAGAGTGAGTGTTTGGTGCACATTCTGACCCAAAACATCTCACTGTCCCCATGTTACCTGCAGAATCCTCAAATATTTAAGATGGGTGTTATCTTACCAATCAGCCCTCAAACTGTTAGTGGCAAAGAAACGTTTGCTGATGCTCTCACAGGCTTTTTTGTTTTCTTTTGCTTTTCCTTCTGTTAAACCTGCTTTTTTTGTTTCAATCTGCCTTAAAATGCTCCTATGGTGCTGAGGTTACTGAGGTGCAACTGGCTGACAGGCTGTAGTGTGGAGGAAGCTGAAGTTTAGGGCAGAGGTAGACATTTTTACCTGTGCGCTGTCGACAGCTGTGGCCAGAGGCATCATGTTTTTGGGTCTGTCCGTCCCATTCTCATGAATGTCACACCGCAGGAATCCTTGAGGGAATTCAAATTTGGAACAAACGTCCACTTGGAATCTACGATGAACTGATAAGAATTTGTGATCAAATGTTAAAGTCACTGTGACCTTGATCACTGGGCTCAGCTCTGTAAATGTAGTTTCAAAGTGTTTTTAAACAATGAAAAAAATTGCAGTTCTTTTATAAATTAAATATTCAGACTTATTTCTCCATCCTTTTTGTCTCAACTGTGAGCCAACTCATGACACTGTGACAAACTTTGAAATGTTTTCAGTGTAGCGACCTGGCTCTAGGAATGGCAGTGTTCCTGAACTGGTCCAGTTTTTTGTTCTGAAATATACCAGTAACGATATATTGAATTTTTTCAGAAATTTGTGGTTTAGAGTGAGTTTTGAGTGAAATTTAACATCTACAGGATGGACTGGCACCAAATTTGATCTACACTGGTTGTTGTTGTTCAGGTGGTGCTACCAGTGTCTCTACTTTAAGGTTTCAGAGATCTGAGTGTGCTCCTGCATCAATTTTCATCCTTTAATCTCATGCTCTTGTTCTTGCACTTCACTTACCGTTGTCTACTTCTTGTTGCAGGTGTAAAGCTGATCTACATGCAGCCATAGTTACAAGTGCCCTTCAACCAACCTGAGAATGACACTCAGAGAATAGGACTCCTGAGTTTATTCTGCGCCTCCAGAGCCTTCAGGCAAACTACCAAATCAGCATTAACAGGTAACTCAACATGCTAGGCAGTTTCACCAAAACAGCTCTTCTAGTCACTGCTGACAGCACACACAACAAAGGGTGCCTGTCATTCCTTTCCTGCATATTTATTGTGGTGTATAACTACACATTTTTATTTGCCATCAACATTTTTTTTTTTTACTTAATATCCTGCTGAAGAAAATTGCACTGTGCTAAATCTAAGACTTACTCACTAAAGAAGCTTTAGTATTTTGGTAATCCTTTGTAAATTTGTGCAACTTTAAAGAATTGTGTGCCTAAAAATATCTTTGTGTGAGATGCTTGAGATCATTCAGACAGGCCTCACGCTGATAGTTAATTGTGTTGCATAATGGGTTCCGAGAGATTTTTATTGCAATCTGGTTTGTATCTGCAACAACACAAACCAAGGCCCTCTTTTACCCAACTCATCAAATACACACCGATCAAGCATCAAATACAAGGACACTTGGTCAGTGGCCCTTAGCACCAAGGCACACTTTACTGTCTGTATGACATTAACCGGGCTGCATCATTATTAGACGCACAAGCAACTGACTAAAGAGAGCAAAAGTCTGCGTAGGATAGGAGGGAAGGGGCTTGGATGGGTCAAACAAACACAGGACTCTCACCCAGGAGACCGCTGTTTGTGTCTCATGTGAAACCAAAAGTCATAGTTGTGTTATTTTAATTATTGACATCATATGTCACACCTGACATACATCACTTCACATTATGTCACGTTAATAGCAAACAAAGTTATTTTAACCAAAACCATGATTTTTTTTCTTAACTTAGCCAAGTACTGTTGTTGCTAAAACCTAAAACCGAAGTAAACCTACGTTGGTTTGAGTTTATTTTGAAAAGAAACTGTATGCATGTAATGGGTTGAAACTGCATTTCCTGTGAAAACAGAAGTTAATTTTGAAAAGACACAATGTGACGAGCAGAAACTGACACAACAAGATTCCAAAACTGACACAAGAGTGTTACCTACTACAGTGTCATAGTTTGGGGTGTAGGGCCATTCAACAGGTGTCAGTATTTGATGAGTTGAAAGGAAGAATGTGTTACATATTGCTTTTATTTAAATTATGTTTTGCTGCTGTTGATAAAAATGGCCATTATTTTTGAGATGTCCTGTTTTAACATTATCATCCAGCATTCAAGCTACAGAGGCAACAAATGCAAATGCTGCTTTTGTTAAAATAAATTTCACATAGGAGTAAAAACTGATAATAAGAACGCACAGAAGAGCCCATAACACACTGATCCTGATCTCTAAAGTTTGGTGCTGTTGGGAGTTGCAGGAAAAATGGCAACCACAGAGACCAAACGAGACGCATTGAGCTTTGATTATAGTCGTTACAGTCTGACATGGATTCTGGAGAATAGCACACAAAGAGATCAGTTTGATTCCAGTGTGAAAGATGGGGGACGTAATCCAAAATGCAACCCAAAGCTCAGCTGAAGCATGAGTTAGTCATATTGAGTGGTTATCTTCCAGAGTTACTGTCTTGTTAGTGTGAAATTTCATCTCTGTTTTCCTGCGACATTGTTTCTTTGTTGAGTTGCAGTGGAGAGATAGTAGGCTGAAACTTTAGGAAGATCACCACTTGAGTTTTCTGACTGCGGAAGCCTCATACTAAATTCAGCTGAACTTTATTGCACTTTGTCCGAAGTCTCTTATGTCGTCAGGGAGTTTTTTCCAGCCAGTATGGACAGGAGGAACAATTACAGCGTCTGTAAACTATCCATTTACATATGGGCGTGTGAGACTTCAAACAAAATGTGACCCTGCAGTCTCCTATAAGGCCTGTCAGCCCATCTGCCTTAAAGCCTAACTTGCGTCTTTGTATGAGACAGTATGCATAGTTTATGGAGGTTCAAGTTGGTTAATATTAAAATGACTATGACAGCCAAGTAATTTATCATGTTGAAAATTTCATAGACAAATAGATAAGCATACTCCTACGTAACTGCGCCATAATTTTAACACAATTTATCATACATGACATTGCAAATTGGTCTTTTAAATTTAAATTTGATTTAAAATGAAAATGACATTGAAATTACATTTTGCATTTGTTATTTTCACAAGGACAGGGTGCAAACCTGTCTGCTCCCTGACTTACTTGCTTTCCTGTGTCCCTCTTTCTTTCCTCTCCACCTGTCTGTTTTTGGTGCAGCTCTGATACAGTCCTGTTCAGGATCCTGCTTCTTTAAAAGTTATCTTGCTCAATCCTGGCCTGAATCTGCCTGAGCAGGTGTGCAGAGCTGGTATTTCTTTATTTGCCAAAGCTTTTTTTAAATTTTAACCTCGAAGGCACAATCTGTGATCGTAGCGTAACTGAAAGCACGGCTCCATCACTGACATTCAAAGCAACCACTGTCAGACTAACTCAACAACTACATTTAAACTGTTTTCTGGCGCTGTTAAAGGTTTGTCAGTAGTGTTTGTGATCAAACACATAAATCAGGCCTGTAATTTTAATGTTAATTCATAATCTAACTCCCCTTTTTACATGTGCACAGAATGCACAGGGTCCACAGCACTGTTTAAAGGGTGTGCAGGAGCGAAACACACACCCCGCTGCAGTTTCAAGCAGTGATCCAACAAACACAACTGGCGGTTTTTGCAGGTGAGAAGCCTGTGAGGGATCATGTCCTTGTCATTGCACAGGCAACTCCTGCTGGTGGTCGAGGCAGGGAGGGAGGGGGTCATTAAGTTCTCCCTATATAACAGTCAGAATTCTTCTGTAGTGAGATTTAAATTGAGATTTGTGACACTTGAATGATTCCATCACTTACAGGTGTCGTGTCACACAACTGTAACTTTTTACATCCATAAAATGCAGCATAATGTACCGTGGGATTATTACCGGAAAGTTGTGTACATGCCATGGATACCTCCTTTATGTTCCATTGTTTTACACTCAGAATTCAAATACTCAGAATGGAGCAAAGTAAATGTAGCGCATCATACGGTAAATGTGGACTGATTTCTATGGGGCCATTATGGTAGCAAAATAGCATCAAATGCGTATCTCAATCTGTGTGTGCGTATTTACATGTGTAAAATCATTTGTAAAAGCATAATAAAGTTTGTGAATGCGTACAAAAACCTGCAAATGTGTATTTAGAATCTGTGTGTGCGTAATCAGATATGTAAATGTGTAAAAAAAATCTACAAATCTGTATTCAGATGTGCAAGTGTATTGCGATCTGTAAATCTGTACACAGATCTGTAAATGCGTACAACGATCTGTAAATCTGTACACAGATCTGTAAATGAGTACAACGATCTGTAAATATGTAGACAGATTTGTCAATACCTTTGTCTTCAGCTTTAACTCAGTCTGGCCTCTCAATTGGCTCTCTTTGTTCACGTGATTTTTGCTACTCTTCTGGCAGCCTGAGAGAGGAGCCTGCACCGGAAGTGGCCTCACGCTGGAGGTCTGCAGCCAGACTCTCTTGGAAGGTCGCGGGAGCTTGAGCCTGTCAGCCTGTGCTGACTCACTTTGAGTTACAGACACAAATCTTCTCACGCATTTGCAGATCTCACATGGCAGAATAGTAGCAAAAATCACATGTACAAAGAGAGCCAATTGAGAAGCCCGACTGAGTTAAAGCTGAAGACATAGGTATTTACAAATCTGTCTACATATTTATGGATCTCTGTACGCATTTGCAGATCTGTGTACAGATTTACAGATCTCTGTATGAATTTGCACATCTGTGTACAGATTTACAGATTGCAATACACTTGCAAATCTGAATACAGATTTGTAGATTTTTTTTACACATTTACATATCTGATTACGCACACACAGATTCTAGGCAAGGCAAGGCAAGGCAAGTTTATTTGTAGAGCACAATTCGTACACAAAGTAATTCAAAGTGCTTTACAGAGCAAGAAAATGCATTAAAATCACAATACAAAATAAAAACATAAATAATCATTATAAAATGAACTTTAAAAGAGAAGAGTGCAGATAAGATCCTTTCAGTCATATGCACAGTGAAATAGAGCTGTTTTGATCCTGGATTTGAACATTGTCAGAGTAGAGGCCTGTCTCACATCTTCAGAAAGACTGTTCCAGATTTTAGCTGCATAAAACTGGAATCCTGATTCCCCCTGTTTAGTCCTGACTCTGGGCACCAGCAGGAGGCCGGTCCCTGATGTCCTCAGAGTCCGAGATGGTTCATATGGCACTAACATGTCAGAGATGTACTTTGGTGCTAGGCCGTGGAGAGACTTGTACACAAGCTGAGCTGCTTTAAAGTCTATTCTCTGAGCCACAGGAAGCCAGTGTAGAGACCTGAGCACAGGACTAATGTGCTCGTACTTCCTGGTTCTGGTCAGGACCCGAGCAGCAGCATTCTGGATGTACTGCAGCTGTCTTACGGCCCGTTTGGAGAGGCCAGTGAGCAGGCCGTTACAGTAGTCTAACCTACTAGAGACAAATGCATGGATCAGTCTCTCCAAGTCAGGTTTAGACACTATACCTTTGATTTTGGCAATGTTTTTTAGATGGTAAAAAGCTGCTGATGTTATTGATTTGATGTGGCTGTTAAAGTTCAAGTCTGAGTCCATTATTACCCTGAGATTTCTAGCCTGATTTGTAGGTTTTAGAGAGAGAGACTGGAGGTGACTGCTGGCACTTTCTCTTTGTTTCTGTGGACCAAATATGATGACTTCAGTCTTGTCTGAATTTAGCTGGAGAAAGTTGTTTTGCATCCACACACTGACCTGTTGGATGCAGTGACAGAGTGAATCCACTGGTCCATATTCATCTGCTGTCAGTGAGACATAGATCTGAGTGTCGTCTGCATAATTGTGGTAGGACACATTATTACTTTGTATTAACTGGCCTAAAGGCAGCATGTAGAGATTGAACAGATACAAATACACATTTGCAGATTTTTGTATGCATTCACAAACTTTATTACACTTTTACAAATTATTTTACACATGTACAAATCTGATTACGCACACACAGATTGAGATACGCATTTGCAGCTATTTTGCTACCATAATGGCCCCATAGATTTCTGACGGTCTGGTCGGAGGCATTATATTTTGGAGTTGTCCATCCGTCAGCCTGTCAGACCATCCATACAGCCCGTCCTCATGAACACAATATTGCAAGAAAGTGGTCAAAGGTCACTGTAACCTCACAAAACATGTTTTTGGACATTACTTAAGAATTCACACCCTGACTATGACAAAAATTTCTCACAAATGATGAAATGACGACATTTTATATCCAAAAGGTCAAAGGTCAACTTCACTGTGACATCATAATGTTCTGTAAAAACACTTTTTTAGCCATTTCTCAACGTCATATCTCAGGAACAGAAGGGTAGACATTTGGTTAGATACTGTATTGGTGACTCTAATCTTGAAACTGTACAGATTGTATAGATCTTCTGTGCTGCCGGGAGGAAGATGTGTGTGAAGCATCCATGTTTTCACGGACCTGGATGTAAACTATAACTGCAACTTGACTGCTTTGTGGAGACCGACAAACACATGGTGGCAATTCTAGTATTTTTCTGTTAGACTGCAGCAAAACTTCTGGCTCTAACTTATTCAAATCAGGTGCATCCATTCTCCAAATAGATAGGACAGTATCTATTCAATATTCATGAGAAACACCCAAAATCGCCACAGGAACACCATATCTGTCTTACCCTTACCTGTACATAAATCCTGTAACAAATGGTCATGGGTTGTTTTTCGCATGTTCACCTTTACTTTAAGGGGAGAGGGTGATGGTGTAACATACAACACCTGCATAACATGCAGGCCCCTGACCCAAAACAAACTGAGGATGTTACTGCCATTTGTAAAATACCACAACCACTCAGCCATCAGGACATTCAAAATCTGCTGTGCGAGAACAGATATGCGAGTGGTATTCATCTTCTTATCTGACTCACTGCCAGAAAGTGAATAGGCGTATTTCCCAAAACTGTTCATTTTTTTGTTAAAGGTTCCTCGTTTAGTTTTTGACCTCTAGTAGAGAGACAAAGCTGTGTGATGCATATGCACCTGGGTAATGAAGTCCATATTCCTGCCAGTAATTTCTCATTAGTCTACTGATCAGCAGTTGGTGGTAACACACCAAAATATGCAGCTATGCGCCAACATGGATGTAAACAATCCAGGATTTAAAGTTTAAAAAAAAATCAGCATTGCAAGTGTTTTATGAGGAAAGAAATGCTGGAGAGCTGTAGGATACATGTGTTTTGGTGAGTAACACTGAATGTAAACATCATTTTTGTTTATGAGAAAACTCCACAGGACCCCTTTAGGACTTCTGTTTCTAGTTTGCTCAGTCTGGACTTGATGTGCAGTGTTACTTGTCGTAAATCAGTCTTTCAGATTGTGGAGATGAAAACATCTGTTAATAGTGTCTCATTGGGGTTTGGGAAATACTTTTTTGATTTACAGATTTATAAATGGTGTCATGCAAGGACAGATCCTGGAGAACATTATTCAGCAAATAAATATCAGATTAGAAGCACAGTGTTAAAACTGGAGAGAGAACCTCTTGGTGGAAGTGTGCAGTAACATGGTGTTAGCACCACACTACAAAGCTCTGATCTCCAATCCCCCATCGCTCAAACCCTCAGACCCCCGGCACATTCACAAACATGCACTCAAGCACACTCTGAGGACAACGTGTGTACAGCACATGGGGGGGAAATACTTTCCTCACAGTACACTGGCCCAATTCATTCCCCTTTTAATCCGCTCTGTGCTCTCTGCCTAATGTGGTCTCTGCTTCTTATACATGTCTCAGTTTGAATGAGTTACTGATGCAGACTACAAAAGGCGCAGGTTTACTAGACCCTCTCCTTTTACTTTGTTCATGGTTTCTTTGCTCTCCAGCAACTGAGGCTGAGCGAGACATGTCACACCGTAATTTAGTCAGGTTTCATTAAAGCTACAGTTGGTGACTGTTAGGGAAATAACTTTGCTGAAACTTTCTGAAACTATAACTACTTTTTTAAAGACATACATGAGACAGATGGTCTTTGAAAAACATGTTGTCTCTCCTCCTCTTCTTAGAATCTACGACACATCAAAGTCAGCCAATCAGAGCCAAGGAGTCTCTAACCAAGCTGTCAGTCATGTCAGTCACTGCTCATGAACTGCAGACTCAACAGCACTGATCAAATATGAATCAAGATTTTGGTTCTGCAGTGCCAGTTTTCTCTAAAGTTTTAGTTGTGTTACTATTTAGCTGTAAAATGAGAAAGTTTGTGACCTGGCAGCCATGTTGGAAATGATCAACCAAAGTACCAAGCACCACATGCACTGGTCCACCAGCCAATTTTCTCATTTTACAGCCAAAAAGTTCTGTTTTTGAAAACATTTCAGGTGAAAAATAGGCAATGCATCGACCAGAACTTTTTATTAATTTGCTTGTTTATTTAAAAAAAAAGACAAAAGCATAAGACATTGCTTCACATGTAAAATACAAAGTAGATGCAGTGCATACAGGTTTCTAGCCATGGCTAGTTTGCAGCCACTGTCCCTGGTAAGGCGTTAAGAATTAAAACAATAAGTGTAAGATTACTGAGCATGGAGTAATTCTATACAAAAATACGACACAACATATACAACAAAATACAGGCAAAGACTAAGTCAAAGAGGAGATGTCAGGTTTTTTTTAGAGGAGGCAGAGGAATTTCATTTTTTAATCTTTTACCTGTCTCATTTTGTACTGTGTAACTATTCTATCTTTGCACTGACACACACTGTCTGTTCACTTGACTTGGCCTCTCTGTGCTGCATGTGTATCTTCAGCTCCAGGCTACACCAGACAGTCTGTGACAAAAGCCTGGCATCAGACCAAAAATTTTTACATTCTGTGGTTTAGCCTAAAGATTGTGAAGCCGAACAGACTTGACACGTCTCTGTGTTGTCAGCCATGGTGCATCACCACTCACTTGCAGCGCTCATCCCTCAGTGACCTTGGGATTCAGTGCAGATGCCTCACTAGGACACACACAGCATTATGTATTTATACAGTAAATAGCTGAGTTTGCTCATCGCCATCTTGCCTACACCACCCTTGCATCCAGCTGTGGGCTCTGCAGAGGTTTGATTGATTTAGAATTGATTTTGATTCTAGTTAAAATCTTAATATTGACTGGTAGTTGTCTGGAAATTGTGTTTTATCAGATACTATTCTTGAGTATTTGTTCTGTTTGCCCATGTTTGACTCTACTGTAGCTCATGCATTTATAAAGTCCTTTATGATTCTTTCTAACACAGCTCATTAAGAACCTGCAGACACAAGTCAAAGTCTCAGGATGAGGATTCTTTTGGAAACATGTTCCAAGAAAGTCTCAAAGTAACTCAAGGTCACACTGCAGTAAAGCTGGCTCTCAACACAGGCATGAACAGGTCGCTCCTCAATCATCTCACCGCAGGAGCTCAGGTTCATTTCGCAAAGCTGCAGTCTTTACGGCTTAACTTCAGAAGTTACACATATACCACATAAACACACACGTGGACACGCCAGAACATTATGCACGCCATACATGACATTTTGTTAACAAAACATTTAATTATCAATTCACTCAGTAATCCATTATCACCCCTTTTGACCCCCTCTGCCACGTGCCACTCCGAACTGCATTATCTTCATCATCAGTGTGTGTACTTGCTCTAAAATGATTCCGATCTCTGCTGTAACTTCATGAATGACAGGGGAAGTGCTGCTGTGATAGCATGGGATGAGAGGGAAAGTCAGTGCTATAGCCTTGAAGGGTGGTTTCATGCATTCTGCCAATTTTTATGCAAAAAAATGTGCATTTTCTGCATGAATATTTGGTTTAAATGTCTTTAATTATGTCAAAATAAAATTCCTCTGGTACTTTTACGTATGGTATTATTGCACATTTTCTAAATATTGTGGAAGACATGTTCCCTATGCCTCCCCCCCCTGAAATCGATGCCCATGAGTCCTTGTATCCAAATCCCAAATCTCACCTTAACAGCTGAGTGTGTGGTTGTTTAAAAGTCAATTTCAAGAGAAAGGTGAGAGGGTTTCTTGCTTTTACTTTGAACACTTACCCAGGTAACTCTGCATAACCGCCTCCTCCTGGAACAGTCCTAGATACACGATTGAATATTTACACTAAATGTAAACACTGCTGAGACATTGAGTCCAGTGCAGTTGCTGTAATAAGAGCAAAAGAGGTGGAAAAGTAACCGTGTTTAGCTGTACTGTAACTGACCTGTTTCACAGCTCAGTGACTTAACAAGTTAATACAACGTTACTGTCTACTGTCCTTTATGCTTTGTACATGCAGGTGTGTGAATGTCATCATGATTAGTCATTGGTAATTTTTGTTATTTTCAGAGGCTTCACAGTCTGTCACATTTGACGTAAAATATGTGAGGAAACTCTGGAGGTTGAGATAAGATGAACTCATAGCTGCCGCCCATGATAGCCAGATTATGATGTGGGAAACACTGTCAAAGGCTGAATGAACGTAATGTTTTTAAAGGTTTTGGTTTATTTCTGTTCTTGTGCGTGCTATATAAGGAGCTTCTCTGGCCAATTTGTGTTGTTTTGAACTTAAATATTGGAGGACAACTGATGCTCGACAGGTTTGTGCTTTTATTTCTCAAAATGAAGGGTGAAGTTTTTCCACATCAGGCTAACAGGATCATTCTGTACTGTAAAATAATGATAACAGATTTATGTTGAGCATCATTTGTCTTTTTGAATGGTTCAAAATTGATTTGACTGACTTTGAGGTTTACAATTTTTTGTAAATTAGTTTTTTTATACATATTTTTTTTTTCCTCTCACAACTCTCATGCTGTTATGCTAGAATATGTATCCCCTGTGATCAATGTGATGTGTTCAGTGCTTCTGATCAGGCTTCCTATGAGACTTGGAAGTTATTGATGTTTTTTTTTTTCTCTCTTAGTGAAACCAAGGCAGCCATGAACCTGTTCAGGAAAGATGCCATGTCCTCAAAGAAGGAGAAGGAGAAAGAGATCCAGTATGAGGACCCTCCAGATGGAGGCTGGGGCTGGATGGTGGTACTGCACTGCTTCCTGGTATGTCCATCTTAGTTGTTTATGATCCCTCATCTCTCAGACTTGTGAACAATTAGCCCAGCAGTGTTGATCAGCATTGTGTTTTCCCAAACACTGTGATCAATTACTGATATTGAAATGATGTGGCTTTTGGTCTTTTCCAAGAAGCTCCCTAATAGGATGGTGGCAGCAAAATAACAACATTTTAATCTGCTACTTCTCATGTTTCCTTTTTCCAAGTCTCCATATGTGTGTTTCACAGAGTGTAACAAGAACACGAATTAGATCTGGGCAAAAAATGATTGGTCTTGGTCTCAGACAAAGAGGAGTCAGGATTTTATTTCAACATTGGTTAAGTGCACAGCTGCAGGGATATCACTGAATAGCCTGTGCAAAAAATGAGTTTTGTTTGTTCATAGAAAACAAAGGAAAGGACCCCACACATAAAATTCACCTCTGTGATGCCTTTTGATTATTTTATCAAGACATTTCTCATGGTACACTTATACATACACACATAAATACAGTACTGGATAAAAAAAAAAGTTGAATGAAGAGGAATCTTCAGTTGATTTTTGTGGGTGTTTTCATGGGAATGTGTATCTTCCAGATCAAATTTAGGTCCAGTAGTTTGCATATTGCACATTGTATCATAAGCGTATCATTAAGTGTGGGACTCTTGCTGGTCTGGTCTTGAGCTCTTAACCTCTTTAGCCCGGTGTACACTGTGTGGCTTTGGGCTGTCTCAGATTAAAGATGACCAGCCTGAAAGACACGTAGTGATATCTTTGGTCACGACTCTAAAACGGTGGTCCTACATCACACAGTGAGAGAGGTTCAAGACTGGCCAGAGACCATCGCACAGTGTGACTGCTGCTACCACTTACATCTACTAACCAACCAATAGAAGTGCAGCATGTAATGGCGCTAACACTAAATGGTAGTAATGCTAAATGCCAGTAGGTGCTAATAAATACTTACATTGAGCTCTTGTTGCAGAAATTGGCATGGCCTCCTCCTCCTCTTCTAAGGACTTTATTCAACACACATAAATGCCACCATAGCTAGGGCTCGATTTCATGTTTGTTTTCATTTTTCTCTCACCACTACAGTGGTTTAGATGGATGGTGTACATTGATGTTTTGTTTTTGTGTATTGACATCGATGGATGTACATCATAGCTTGCGATTCATCAGGGGTTGTCATTGTACAGTCTGCATACATCAAACTTGATGTCATACCCAAGTTTATTAGATCCATGTTGCACAGTGTATCTTGCACGAAACTTATAAGATTGCTAAAGTCTCACAGTCTTTGGTAGACAGGTTAGGTTAGGTTGCCTTGACAACAACATTGGTATTTACCACACATGCATGTTCTCAATCTCTGCTAGCACTGATCTCTGTCCCTTTATTTTCATGTGTATATGCATGTGCAGGTGAATGTCCTAGTGATGGGAACACTGAAGAGTTTCGGGATCTTCTTTGTGGCGTTCCAAGATGAGTTTGGAGGCTCGTCAGAGAGCATCAGCTGGATCGGCTCCATCATGTCGAGTCTGCGTCTGTCAGGGGGTTTGTATCAGAAAAAAAGTAAACTCTGTCTGCATCCCCTACAAGGCTCTGCGATAAGTTTGTCGACTTCTGTCCTCTCTCCTTCATGTCATCAGTGATTTTGTAAAAAGAGAGCAGAGCTTTTACTGTTTGAAGCCACTTTTCCTCTGTGTGTTCACACTTAGATGTTGAAAAGTAGAAAATTAAGAAAAAAAAACATTTTGTCGGCGCATTTCATCCACCCCCTTTTATGCACATTTTCAGTTTGCATATAAAAACACCCCTGACAATCTTGTAATGTCACAAAGATGTCTTAACGCTTTGGGGAGGTGGAAAAGCTGGTGTATCGATTAAAGGTACATGCAACTAAGTGCAATGGACAGATTCAGTGAGTGAATGACAACAGCATAGGCCACTGCAAACTCTCGTCGTTGTCTCTGGAGTGCTTTTAACACGCTTATGCACACAGGGCTGTTACCAGAACTCTTCCAAGAGCACATAGCTGTAATATTGGTTGTTCATAACTCACTGTTTCCATTCTCTGGTGTGCTCACTGTTATTATTCATACATTGTTTTCCTTCATTTGAGATTTCTTTGAATGACATCATCTTACTGTGCCATCTTCTGCAGTGATACCAGAGAGTTAGCATTACCTACTGCTTATTTCATGTACAAATTATTAATATTTGCGTAACAGTTGCGGATGGAAAAGCAGCTACATTTGCATTTTCTTTTGCAGAATCTTTGGTCAGAATCTGTTTTACATTTGAAACTAGCTTTGTCTTTGTGCGTCCTCTCCTGTATCCTCTGTAGCACCCATTGCCTCAGTGGCCTGTGCCAAGGTAGGAACCAGGGTGACCTCCATCGCCGGGGCAGTGCTGGTTAGTGGAGGCTTCCTCATGAGTATTTTCGCCAGCAGTGTGGTGTTCCTCTACATCAGCATGGGAGTTATAGTAGGTGAGTAGAAATCTGTGGACCAATGAGATCCACATCTGCTGTTTCCCCGATGACTCTAAACCAAGGTCATCTCCTGCATGAGGACATCTCTTCCTATCTATTTGATTAATTTTTTTCTCTTGTCTATCCACATTGCTGTGAAACACACATTGGCTGATAATGATAACCTTCTTTACTCCTCATAGGAATTGGTTTTGCACTACTATACCAATCCTTCTCAGTCGTCACAGCGCTGTACTTCCGAAAGAGGTTAGCGACAGCGTATGCAATTGGACGTTCTGGGATGGGTTTGACCTTTGCCCTTGCTCCATTCACTCAGCTGCTCCTGGACAAGTATGCTTGGCAAGGTATGCAGGACAAATCTGTTACTGATTGGTGCACACTGTATAATGTATGTGGGTATCTCTATGGTGTATTCCCTTTTTGTGTGTGAGGAGAAATACAGCACATACAATGTGACATGTTGGGTCCTGAACTGTCTTTGTCCTTCACAGGTGCAATGCTGATTCTTGGTGGCCTCATGCTGAACCTGGTGGCCACTGGGATGCTTCTGCGACCCATCAAAGTGAAGCCCCCCGCGTCAAACCCTACCTCTTCCCCCATTCAAAAGAGCCCTGCTATTTCCCTCAAGAGCTCCTCAGAGAAGGAATACACTAAGAGCTGCTTGAATGGCTCCTCTCACTTATCCAATGGCATCTCCAAATCAGACTCATTCCCATCCCCTCCTCCTCCCTTCCCTAATGGGGACACTGACAACCTGGGGGGCCAGTGTACTCAGGGACTCCAGGACCAGTCAGTGAACCCTGAACTGACCAGACTGGTCCTCAATGGTGTGAATGGCCATGAGCCCCACCGTGACTTGGGTCAGTGTAAACCCACAACTCCAGACAGCTCAGCGGAGCTAAATGGCAGCATGAATGGGTCCACCATTGTCGGAGTTCCCTCACATGCCAGCACGCCAAGTGAGGCGGCCATCATAAAAGCCAAAGTACTGGATTTCTCCCTGCTGAAGGACCCATTCTTTTGTATCTACACTTGGTCCTTGGTCTTCAGCCAGCTGGCCTACTTCATCCCCTATTTCCACCTGTCTGCCCGTGCCAGAACCCTGGACATCGATGCCATGGATGCTTCATTCATCATCTCTGTGGCAGGTGAGGCACACATTGGTCAACTATGTTTTGTGATCCACCCAAATGCAATAGTTTGACATTTTGGAAAAAGTGTTTCAGCTTGTGGAAGCAAGCGTATTTCCCTAAATATACAGTACAGGCCAAAAGTTTGGACACACCTTCCCATTCAATGCGTTTTCTTTATTTTCATGACTATTTACATTGTAGATTCTCACTGAAGGCATCAAAACTATGAATGAACACATGTGGAGTTATGTACTTAACAAAAAAAGGTGAAATAACTGAAAACATGTTTTATATTCTAGTTTCTTCAAAATAGCCACCCTTTGCTCTGATTACTGCTTTGCACACTCTTGGCATTCTCTCCATGAGCTTCAAGAGGTAGTCACCTGAAATGGTTTCCACTTCACAGGTGTGCCTTATCAGGGTTAATTAGTGGAATTTCTTGCTTTATCAATGGGGTTGGGACCATCAGTTGTGTTGTGCAGAAGTCAGGTTAATACACAGCCGACAGCCCTATTGGACAACTGTTAAAATTCATATTATGGCAAGAACCAATCAGCTAACTAAAGAAAAACGAGTGGCCATCATTACTTTAAGAAATGAAGGTCAGTCAGTCCGGAAAATTGCAAAAACTTTAAATGTGTCCCCAAGTGGAGTCGCAAAAACCATCAAGCGCTACAACGAAACTGGCACACATGAGGACCGACCCAGGAAAGGAAGACCAAGAGTCACCTCTGCTTCTGAGGATAAGTTCATCCGAGTCACCAGCCTCAGAAATCGCAAGTTAACAGCAGCTCAGATCAGAGACCAGATGAATGCCACACAGAGTTCTAGCAGCAGACCCATCTCTAGAACAACTGTTAAGAGGAGACTGCGCCAATCAGGCCTTCATGGTCAAATAGCTGCTAGGAAACCACTGCTAAGGAGAGGCAACAAGCAGAAGAGATTTGTTTGGGCCAAGAAACACAAGGAATGGACATTAGACCAGTGGAAATCTGTGCTTTGGTCTGATGAGTCCAAATTTGAGATCTTTGGTTCCAACCGCCGTGTCTTTGTGAGACGCAGAAAAGGTGAACGGATGGATTCCACATGCCTGGTTCCCACTGTGAAGCATGGAGGAGGAGGTGTGATGGTGTGGGGGTGTTTTGCTGGTGACACTGTTGGGGATTTATTCAAAATTGAAGGCACACTGAACCAGCATGGCTACCACAGCATCCTGCAGCGACATGCCATCCCATCCGGTTTGCGTTTAGTTGGACGATCATTTATTTTTCAACAGGACAATGACCCCAAACACACCTCCAGGCTGTGTAAGGGCTATTTGACCAAGAAGGAGAGTGATGGAGTGCTGCGGCAGATGACCTGGCCTCCACAGTCACCGGACCTGAACCCAATCGAGATGGTTTGGGGTGAGCTGGACCGCAGAGTGAAGGCAAAGGGGCCAACAAGTGCTAAACACCTCTGGGAACTCCTTCAAGACTGTTGGAAAACCATTTCAGGTGACTACCTCTTGAAGCTCATGGAGAGAATGCCAAGAGTGTGCAAAGCAGTAATCAGAGCAAAGGGTGGCTATTTTGAAGAAACTAGAATATAAAACATGTTTTCAGTTATTTCACCTTTTTTTGTTAAGTACATAACTCCACATGTGTTCATTCATAGTTTTGATGCCTTCAGTGAGAATCTACAATGTAAATAGTCATGAAAATAAAGAAAACGCATTGAATGAGAAGGTGTGTCCAAACTTTTGGCCTGTACTGTATACGTATGAATAACAGGGTAATACACTGGCTGTTGTTTTCATACTTCTCCTATTTAAGTTCACTTATTGCTTGAAAGGTGAAACTGTTGGATTTTAACAGTGGAAGTGTGCACAAATTTCCATCTTCTAGATTAGAGACCAGTCTGCTTTTGACTGTCTGAAATGTGAATGAAGCATAAAGTCAAAGAACAGCCCTGATGCTAGTTATAAATCTAACAAACTCCTGATTAAATTTACTGTAATAAAGGGACAGTTCACCCCAAAATCAAAAATACATGTTTCCCTCTCACACCTGTAGTGCTATTTATCAACTTAGATTGGTTTGGTATGAGTTGATGAGTTTTGGAGATATCTGCTGAAGAGACGTCTACCTTCTCCCAAATATAGCGGAACTAGATGGCACTCAGCTTGCTCAACGTGCAAAAAAAATACATTCGAAAAGTTCAACAGCAATGTTTCCCTCCAGAAATAATGACCCAGTTACTCAAGATAATCCACAGACCTTGTTGCGAGCAGTTTCATGTAGGAACTATTTTCTTTTTACTGAACCACACCCACCAACTGTATGACCTTGCAGAAAGAAGCATGTATGGTGCTCATGACAGGTTTTAAACATTAATGGCGTCCTCCTCAGCTGAGCTGTAACTTTAGCTAGCTCAGTATTGCTAGGTGAGCTTGCAGTGGATGCACACTTCCCTCTGTTTGGTGATAATGGGTCATGATTTCTGGAAAGAGACATTGCTGTTGAGTTTTTCAAATGTATTCTTTTAGCGCTATTAGCACCACGAGCCGAGTGCCATCTAGTTCCATTATATTCCTGAGAAGACAGACATCTCTACAGCTGATATCTCCAACACTCGGTAACCTACACTAAAACAATCTAGACCAATAAATAGCACTACAGGTAAGAGGAAAAATATGTATCTTTGATTTTGAGGATGAACTGTCCCTTTAATGCCGTCTGTCTTTGAATGTGGCTTCCAGCAGGGAATTCACAGCAACTGTTCAGAGGGAGGTCCGGGTTCCTTTAAGACTGGGTTTAAGAAGCAGTGCAAAAGAAAAAAGTCCTCAGTCAACTTTTAGGCATTAATAATTTGTGAGCTGCTCAGACTCTGCAGTCTTATGTAATGAATGTGCTTACATAAAAGCTGAACTTTGGTCCACTGGCCAAGGCGGGTGGGTTCAGCAGAATGCCACTGATGAGGCCACTCCATATGAACAGAAAACAGCATTAACATTTTGACCACTGACCACATGTGCATGTAATTCTTTAAGAGTGCTTGGTCAGGCTTTGTGAATAATTGAAATGCACCAGATGGGGACCTGCGTTTATCAGTTACATGCTTCTGTTTTGTAATGTATCCCTTGGTAATCAGTCCTCAGCAGACAGAGATAGTGTTACCTTTGATTACAGGTGACTTTAGGATAAGAGTAATTACAGTCACATCACTAGCTTTCAGATGCAATAAAGGGAGAAGGTGTGAGATATGCTATTGTCATACCAACACAAGAAGTGCTGACATTTTCATACATGTCTTAAATTCACATCACATCTAGTCATTGTGAAATTAAATTTAAATGTTTGAATTATGTAGCAATGCTTTGGCTGTGGAGGAAATTGTTTTAGATTGCCGAAAAGACTGTTTTGGTGTCCTGGAAAAAATCTATCATTTTAATGTACCCTGTGTAGACGGCCTGTGAATACACAGTGTTACCTCTGTCAGCGTTGGTGTGCATCAGCAGCTGGACACAGAAAATGGGGTAAAAGTAAGGAAAAGGTCACAAGAAAACACTACAGCCTGCACAGGAAACACAGCTGGGATGAAAACATTTATGGATTTAGACAAAACTAAGATTGGTGTCAAATAACACGACTGTGTTAAATTACCTCAGATACACAAAAACTAGCAGACAAATTGGCTTTATGTGCTCTTAGACAAATCTCTACACTGTTTCTGTAGAAGTGTAACAAAAACCAGAGGATATAGTTGTCTGAGTTTTCCCTAATGGTCTATGAAGTTACTTCTGAGCTTCATGCCAGCACTCAGCGCGAGCCAACAGCAAGACTGACAGATTCCTTTGACTCAGACACGTTTGTTCTGTCACATTCTCTCTTCACGTGCACTGTGATGAGAGAGAAAGAGAGACAGAGCTAGAGAGACGGGGTGCCACCCGCACCACAAAGCCACCATCCTAGTGTCCTGCTGTCCCTCTTTCCCTGACCCAGCGCTTGTCATAGAGGCCCATTGACTCGGCTGAGGGAGGGAGGCCACTATCTTCCGGGTCAGTCTGCTCCTCAACCCTCGGCCGCCAACACTGGAGCTAACTGGAGTCGCTAAGCAACAGCTAACTGAGTAAAGTTGTTGGCGTGGTGACAAGAGGGGCTCCCAAGCTTTTGTTGGAGTCCAGTTCTAAAGTGGCTGATACTTTGCAGAGGAGCACTGAGGCGGCAATGCGTACAAAAGAGGAGGCAGGACAAGCCAACTGCCACCTCAGAGAAGCTGGGAAAACCAACATGCCTTTTAGAACCCTTTGCTTTAATGTGGTGACAAAATGTCCCTCTTTGAAGTAAAGGAAATGGCACTTTTCCGCACTTTGCAGCTCCCTAATGGTCTATTAATGCCCAGCGGCATGCGCATACTGTACACCTTCTATACCTGTCAGCACTACGCTGAGAACTAATAATGCCTGATGCAGTTGGCTTAACGTGCTACTCAGAAAGGCCAAATTTAAACCGCAGTGTACTGAGTTTGAACAGGAACAGCTGCAGGCCTGGACAAACCTGCTGAGGCTAAAACACACAAACAAATTCACAACTCGTCTGGATGCAAGCAGGGGACACCCTAGGACACTGTCTTGGGTCGCTAGAGGAGGACACATAAACACAGCACAGCTGCCTCATGTCATCTCCCTAACCTCTGAGGAGAGAAACGCTCTCGAGTTATGTAAGGAAAGCAGAGGTGTTCACTGGCGAGGCATTTCATGATTTATTCATGGGAAGTTCATTCAGAGGCTTAAAGAGTGAAGATATAGCTGATCGTCATGAATTACATCCACATGTTGATTTATGTGAAGGAGTGTAACCTCACAATTAAGTTATATCTGCATGCTGTACCTGGTAACACACACTGTACGCAGGCTCATTCATATTCAGCAGAAATTTTATTTTGAGTTCAAACTGTGTGCCAGTGACTGCAGCCCGTGCAGCTGTGGTGCAGAGGCTGAGCAGAGGATGGGTAACTCTGATCTGCATAGAACCAGTTTGTTTCATTGATCAATGGCTCAGTGCTGCCTGCTTGTAGCTATTCCTGCGGCGGTCAATACACCACTGCAGTTTCCGTACCGCCTATCGCTTTCCAGTTGACCTCAGCAGAGTACAGCACATAACTGCCCAGTCATCATACCCGACCGGAGCAAACAATCAATCAGATGGGATAGAGTGCATAATGAGTAGTTTGCCTGTGTGTCACTCATGTAATACAGATGTTAACAGATGGATATGTTGCCACCCACTGTGTGTGGAAACATTCTCGAGGACGGGAATAAACTGGGACCTGAAATAGACTTGTCTAGACATCACGTTTGTTATTAATGCAGACCTAGTTTTGCTGCAGTGTCATTCTTCTTTCACATTCTGTCTTTGCCCCACCCTCACTCTCCTACACACACGTTTAGATGCACACTCACTCCCTTAATGCTTGATTTGCATTGCATGAAATAACTGCATGATTTTGAAGGAACTCTCACAAGTCCCTGTGGGTAACTTTAAGTGGGTGCCCTCATGGATTACCTTAGCTGCACTTGAACTGCACTTTGGTGTGCCGTGGCTGACTTTGAGATGTAACTCTTTCTGTGGATTTGAGCATCAGTTCAAAATGCAGACAAGACTGTCGGCCTCTCATCACTGTGGTCAGCTGTAGCAGCGTTCGTACTAAAGTCCCAGCAGGATTATCTAACACCAAAAGGACAAATGTTACTGTTTTATGACATGAATGTCATAGGTCAGGAAACATGTCTGCATGTGATTGGAGTGGAGCCAGTGGCGTGACAGGTGAATGAAGATAATTGAAAGTTCATGTGGAACTTTAAGGGCTGGTTCACCTAAATTAAAACAAGAGTACAGGTCTTCCACCACAGTAGTGGCTCTGTTACCTCTTTCCCATCAACATGGAACAGGTACAGCTTCAGGTCCCGCACCTAAATTTGAACCCCTCATACTCCTTTTAGACCAAATTAGCTCTCGTTCTTAAGACTGTCCTGTTCCGATATCTTGGAACTGTGGTGCTATCTAGGGAGCTTACCCACATTTCCACAAGTTCAGTGCGTGAACCCTAATGGCACCTGTTAAATGTTGGTGAAAAAGGGGTATCAGAGCATTCTAACCAAAAATAAAATAGTTCAGAACCTAAAAATGTAGTTCTCAACTGGAACCAAAATATTGCAGGATTTTCTTAACCTGAAGTGCAAACAGTGACAATATCAGTGGGCGTGCCGTGTTCTACAGATTAGAAAGAGAGCATGAAGAAGTCAAGTGGGAAATCATCAGGAGAAAAAAAATGTGTGCAGTGGTCTCATGAGTTAAGTTGGTCCATGCTTGTTTTTTGGACAAAAACAAATCTGTAACAACAAAAGTTCGTAGGTTATCAGGGTGATGCAGCATTTTGCCACTATTGTTACTATGTCTGTTGTAACACCCTCCGTTGATGACACATCCTTGATTACAATGGTTTCACTCAAAACTGGTGGAAACAGAAACTGGTTTGTGCGATAGAGCGAAGGTTACCAGAATCCACAATGTAATTTCATGGAAAAGGGATATGTGAGGATGTGCTTGGACACAGTGGTGCTTTGAGTGACATGCTAACATGCTCATAAGACAATGTTACATTTCATCCGTAGGGGAACTTGAATGTGTGTACAAAATTTCATGGTTAAACCATCCAATAGTTGTCAAGATATAATATGAAGAAAAATGAAATGTCAACCTCATGAAGGCAGCCTCAGGATTATTCATCTGGGAACAGTTAGTGTATTTACAAAATTCCATAGCAGTGCATCTAATAGTTGAGATATTTCAGCCTGAGCTAAACTCTCTACATGGATAGATAACATTATGGGTTGTGTTTGGGAGAACTGACTCTTTAATGCATCTGCAGCTTAAAACAGTCTCTGTACATTTGCATTGCAGTAGTTTAATATTTATACCTAGTGCTTAATAATGAGTCTGCTTTATTTTACTTAATTATATGGGTAAGTGGACATCTGTGGCTGGACTGGGTTTGTTCTCTAAATATGCAGCTGCCTGATTGTTGAAGACTGAAAGTGAAGAGAGTCAGCGATGCTCTTGTGTTTTGGAATTTCATCAAAAACTCCATTACCAAAGAGCAGCTTCCTGTTACTACCTGAATATTTTATTGTTTTCATCCCACAGTCTGCCTCTTGTCTCATACTCCTTCCTTAAAGAAACAGTCCACTTATTTTACTTCTTTCCAACCAGGACAATCCACTCTGTACTAATGATGCTTTCTCAGGAGTTCCTGGAACGTACATTTAAAAACAAACAATTAAAGCCTAAAAAAGAAGTCTCCTTTTTACTTGCCTTATTTTTTTGCCCTTTTGCTCTCACCTCTCAGTCTCATTTTACAGTTTTACTTTGACATTCACAAGCCTCACTTGTCTCTGTTACAGGTATCACAGAGACCATCGCCCAGCTGGCCTCGGGCTGGGTGACAGACAGGAACCTGCTCCATAAATACCACTACCACAAGGCCTACCTGATCCTCTGTGGCCTGGTCAACCTGCTCTCCCCACTGGCAACCTCCTACATCCTGCTGATGGTTTACGCTGTCTTCTTTGCCATCTTCTGTGGTGGATACATGGCTCTGCTGCTGCCTGTTCTGGTAAGGAGAGCACCCTACTTAAACATGGCAACATGCATTTGTACCCTCTTAAAACAAATGAACCTGTATTAATCACATGGTTGTAAATTTCAGTAATGCTTTACCTCACAGGTCCCATAGTTACATCTGCCAAGGAGGTCATGTTTTTGCTGCTGTACGTGCATTTGTCAGCAGGATTATGGAAGAAATATTAGCAGCTTTCACAAAACTTGGTTGAAGGGTGTAGCATGGGCCAAGGAAGAACCCATTACATTTTGGAGCGGATCCGAATCATGGGTGGGATACACAAATCATTTTTCAGATTCATTAACATTTAGAGGTAGGGCATTTGGCTGCACTCGCTGTGTGAAAATAACTGATATGTGACTTTAAATTCATAGGAGGTTTCCTAGAATGGAGTAAGTGGCCTAATTTGATATACCTCGGTACAAAGATGAACATGCAGACATTTGGCATCAGTCTATGGGCATATGATTTTACATCATGAAGAATAAAGTCTCCAAGAATTAATAAAAAAAACTAATAGCCCAATTTTAATTGCGCAGCAAGGAGTGCAAAGTCATGGGTCTTAGGTGCACAGACTCTGTGGGCGTCTCAGACTGCAGAGGGTTGTGTGAAGTGGAGTAGAGATCAGATTTATGTGTGGTGATAAGAAATACACTCTCAGCGATCACCTCACTGGTCTCTTCGCTAAGAAACAGTGGTGCCAGTCACACTGATACATGATGATAATGATTCAACAAATGCAAAGAAGCGTGAGAAGGCATTGAAATTGTTGGTTTTTGTTTTTTGCATTACTGATTCACTCTAAGTGTTGTGTTTGCTTTCGTTGATAAAATTGTCAGATTGGCAGCAGATAGGCATTGCGCCTGTAACAGGCATGGTTCTCAGATGTCTATTTTAAGCCCAACATCTACATCAGTCTCGAAAGTATCAACAAAAAAACTTGTACTGGCTCATTGGAATTAACCTCCCACCTGTACACGGCATACTCACTGGCACCAAAACACCAAACAGACAGGCAAAGCGAGGTTCCTCTGTGAGGCTTGACTGCATACCCACCCTACTCTGCCTAACTCTGCCTCTGATTGGCTCACCCTGATATTATCACCCTAAATCTAACCGGTCTCACTCCTCATGCCTAAAACTAATGAATCCAACCAACAAAGGCAGCAAGTACCAGCCAATCAGAGGGATAGTAAGACAGGGTGTACCTTTGCTATTCTAGGGAAACAAATTTGTGTGGTGCATTGAGCTTTGCTAATACCAGCATGCTAACATGCTGATTATAAGGAGGTATTTACCACCAACATCTTAGCTCGGATTGGACGGCAGTTGCTCAGTCCATAGGGACTTAGGTTGGGAACCGGAGGGTCGATGGGTCAAGTCCCTGTCTACTTGACAGTAAATTATTTGAAAACTACAGACATAAAATAAACAGTCACCTAAAATCAAAGGTCTAAGAAATGACTCAACTAAGCACTTGATATCAGTAATTGTTTTCCAGAAGGAAATTCAGTCATGGTTTCTGTATATTATAGGTTACGGTAGGACGGAGAAACTGACTGAGTAAATTTCAAGTGAAAACTTGTATTAGAAAGTCAGTAAAGATTAGTGAAGGCATGTAAATGTAGACTCTGTGGTACCTGTAGATATTGCAACAGTGTGCTCTCCTCAATATCATTTGACTTTTCATACAATCCCATCAGCATCAGTCCCCTTAACACCCTTACAGTAATCAGACTCTCTAATCTGCTGAATTCACAGTAAGTGTATTTGTGTGTTGGGGACTTTTGTACCATGAGAACATGGCTTCATTACGTCATTGTGTCACGCACTGAAAGTGAAAAGTATCCGTGAAGCAAACCGTTGGAGATGTTTCCCAACTGCTTTTATGGGTGGAACAACGTATTAAGTCAGCGAGTATCCAGTGTCATCAGGTCATGTCACACCTGAGAACAAAAACGTGAGGACATATATGTGGTGTGATTTCACTTGCCGATGGTGTGATCTCAAAGGGCAGGACATGCCTCTGGGACTAATGTTGACAAGTAGGATCTTTCTTTTTCTGAAAAGGAATGGAAGACAAGTTAAAACCAGTTTTCTTCTTAAACCAGATTAGTACTAAAGCTTGTCTCTGCCTGTTGACATAAATCACTTTTTTCCAGACAAGGAAAATAGACTTTGAAAAGTAGGTCAAGTGTCTGCATCTTCTTAAAATGCCATGATCTTTTGTTTGACTTGGCAAGGGAGGGCTGGTTTGGTTTTAGCTCAGACTTTACTGGTACTGTGTTGACAGGTAAGTATCACCTCACCATCGGCATTAAAAACACAGGCCTGGAAGCTGCTGTCACTCATAAAGTGTTCGAGGGGTCTTTCAGTGCAGGAGCCAGCCCTAGACAACTGTTCGGGCTATTTAACAAACAGACTTTGCTTTCAAATTAAAAGTTGTTTATCCTTCAAACTAAATCAGATCATTATCTGCATCACAGAGCGGGTCTAACTGCGTACATCATACCTGGAACCAAGGCAGGTTAGGTCCATAGGATTGCCTAAACATTTGTCAACTAGAATTACTACCCTGCAGCTCTATGCCTCCACATACCAGTCAAGTTTCTCTTACAGCTTCCATCCATGTCTGTGAACTCACACACATCTTCCCCCTGCGGACACAAAAGATCTACACAATCAGCAGAGTTTCAAGTTTCATGTTTTGTGATGTCATACTGACCTTCGACCACAAAATTCTAATCAGTTCATTCTTCAGTCCAAGTGGATGTTTGTGTCAAATTTGAAGAATTTCTCCCAGATGTTTTTGAGATATTCTGTTCCCAAGAATGAGAAAGACATGGTCACAGTGACCTCTAACCTATGACCTCCAAAATCTAAACAGTTAATTGTTTAATCCAAGTGAACGTTTGTGCAAAATTTAAAAAAAACAAATCCTCAAGGTTTTCTGGATATCACATTCACAAAAATGAGACAGATAAGGTCACAGTGACCTTGACCTTTGACCTATAACGACCAAAATCTAATCAGTGCATTGTTAAGTCCAAGTGTATTTTTTCACCAAATTTGAAGAAATGCTGTCAAGGCATTTGTGAGATGCCGTGTTCATGAGAATGAAATGGATGCAAGGTCACATTGACCTTAACCTGTGACCTGTGACTACCAAAATCTAATCAGTTCATCGCTGAGTCCAAGTGAATGTGCAAAGTTTTATAAAAAAAATCCCCAAGGCCTTCTTTAGATATCAGATTCACACAAATGAGACAGATAAGGTCACAGTGACCTTGACCTTTGACCTATAACCATCAAAATCTTATCAGTTCATCATTGAGTCCAAAGAGACGTTTGGGAAATTCCCTCAAGGCGTTCTTGAGATATTGCGTTCATGAGAATGTGACGGACCTACACATGTATGTATGTACATGCAGACGGATGGACGGACACCCTAAAAACATATTGCCTTCAGCTACAGTTATCACGGGCGCAGAAAAGAAAGGAGTAGAAACATCCAAACACTGTTTTCATCACATTTTCATTACAAACTGTTGTATGCTTTGGAAAACATAAGTTAGAATATGTTGGCAGTGTGACATATATGTGATTTGCACAGTGCTGAAATGCTGAAATCTGTTTCAATTTTAAAATGTCAGTAAGAAATATGATGACTCAGTGTGTGCAGAGCTTCAGGTTCAATGTGTTTTTCTGCTTTGCAGGTAGATCTCGTGGGGTCGGAGAAACTCAACAACTCCATGGGCTTCTCCATGTTCTTTGTTGGCCTTGGTTGCCTCACAGGACCTCCTTTGGCAGGTAAACGGATCGCGTAATGGAAAACCTTCAGTCAGGCATGTGTTAACCCACTTTTCCACATGCACACAATAACAAACGTGTACATATGCACTGCATATGTATGGGATTGTAGGCATGACATCACTGTTCTGAAGTGATTCGTTACACAGAGGCCAAGGTGAGGTTTGTGTGTGTGTTGGCCCATAAGAGCTTCATGCAGTAAGTGAGTGAGTGAGTGGGGGGATCGGTGAAAGGGTTGATAAGCCTTTCTTATGAACACATATATTTTTAGGGGGTGTTGTGGCACATATTTTCATGGGGCCCTGAATTCCTTGCGGTGTCTCCAAGCATGTGTATGCCTGTCTGTGTGCATGTAGTCACTGTGGAGTGTGAAAACTGAAACACACAGGAGAAAAACAACCTATAGTTGGTGCAGCCCTGCAGACTAGGACTTTGGGGTTGCGTGGACAAAAATGCATACAGGGGTTACTGGGTCAAATTTCATCTTGCCTTGAAGTAGAATAACAGTGTTGTGTGTATGTCCATGGTCGGCTGGGTTTGAGTGTTTAAGTGATGGCAGATTGCCTTTGTTAGTCTTAGAGAGCTGTTTCTAATCAGGAATCTTACTGTGTTTTTTGTTACATCAGGTTGTGGCAGATTATTTCTAATGAATTATGCCTTTTCTATGTCAGCTGTAAAAAAAAAACATCAATCATCTGTGTAGTGCATGAACGGCTGTGTGAATCAAACCTGTTTTTATCTTCACTGAAGCGCTGAAACTTGTACTCCACGTCTCATCATGATAACACATATATTACAATTTTTTTCTGTGATTATGCGAGGTGCTTCTAGGAAAAATAACTCTTTGGCCCCACGTTAGGCCCCAGTCAAAGCGAGGGGTTCCCTTGAACCTATTGACATGGTCCCTGCCCACTGTGTTGGGCAATCCCCTCAGAGCGGCTTATGGATTTGGGGTTGAAATGTGACTAATGACCCCTTTAGGGAGGTACGGAAATAGCATGTGGCTCTGTTTACCATCTCCGTGGTTTGAATAAGAAACGGATGTTAGGCAAACTATGTTCTCTCCTTTCAGGTCACAGGTTGTGATAACAGAGCTGTTTGCATACACAGCTCTTTGGGATGGTCAACTGTCTCAGCAGCAGCTGTAATGTGGTCCTCTTTTATGAAGTAAAATGTCAACATGGCTCATGTGAAACAAGAACACAAAAGCACAGACAGTTATGAGTCACTTGCAGTATAGTTTTCACTGAAGTCACGCATGCTAAAAATGTGAGCCCTCCCTGTTCTGTACAAGAACATTTGGGTTGTTAGGGCATGAAAATCCATCTTGCCATCATGTTTATCTTTTTTTATTTGGTAATAATGCAGTTAATAAATGTTCATGTTGTGTTAATAAATATGGACAAAGCCATCAGGTCTGCAGCTGTAAATGGCATAAAAAAAAGTTCTGCACTTTTTCACGAGATCGGTGTTTAAACTGTCCATTGGTGAGGTTTTCCTGATGACCATTAGAGCTAAAACGATGAAGCAAATGTTTTGCTGGGAGAAAATAAACCACAACCATTGGTATTTTTTGGGAGCAGTACGGGAATACAGAAAATCTGCATGCAAATTTCCTGTTTGACAGCTTCGCACACGCACTTTGGGTCTGGTGCGAATTATACTATTGCTGTGCTCCGTTTTAGTCAACAACAAAAACCTATTCAGACAAAGAATGTCACAGGGGCTAATGTTAGCTACACAATATACAAACTAGTCCTGTTGTGTGACTAGCATATGGCCTAATGTTAGCAAGTGCTACATAATCGGCTACATTAGCCTATTCATCGTATCCCTGTCGGGCGATCACAAACCATATATTGTCCTTTGTTTGGTTGTTGAGGTAGTCGTTGTGGTGTTTGTCCTACAGTTGGTAGCTAGCTGTGACCTGGAGGCATGACATCAGATCGAACAAAGGATTTCATTGGTCAATTCAGGTTCGTCTGAATATTTTTTCCACTGCACAAATGTTCTGCAGAGGTGTGCAAACATTTATAAGAACCTTCAAAATCAGTTGTTATACATTTCTGTGCAAACATGTGGATGAAGATCCATGCTCAGTGTGAAACAGCTCTTAATAATAATATTCTAATATTAGTCATTATAAAGCAATTAGCTACAACTCACAAAATCTCATTTCTAAGTTGTACCACTTTCTAATGAGTGCTTTATTAGTGTTCAAAGATGTTTTATGGATCCTCTTCAGTCCAGGTTAACTTTGTTGTTTGTGTTTTGACATTTTATGCATTTATTTTTGTCTTTGTTCACCTACTTAACCGCCCTTATCCTACATGCATGATATACTTTTTAAGTACAAGCTCAGCTGCAAATCTGACTGATCATTTTGACAGTCTGACAGTATGAAGCTGCCAGGAAACTGAAATACACAGAAAATGACACAGGCACCTGTAGAGATATACAAATCTTTATTGACAATGGCTCAAAATGTTAGCATAAAAATACTTTTTCTCTGCTTATACACAAATACAGCACAAATATGTAAGAAAGAATACTATAATACAGGCTGTACCCCACTAGTTCTTGTGCCCTTTTTATTGGAAGTCCACAAACTACTGTAAATCACTGCCAATATTAATTAATTGGGTTTCTTTTGGCTGTTCTATGCACATAAAGTAAATAATGTGTGAAAGCCCTACAACAGTACTTTCAATGGGCTTCCTCGGCTTGTCTCTTCCTGATACACTGTATATAAATATGTTACTAGAATTGTTGTTTGTGTTTTGCAGGTTTCCTGTATGACTACACCCAGACTTACGACTGTTCTTTCTACCTGGCTGGGCTCTGCTATCTGCTTTCTTCTGTCTCGCTGTTCATGGAGCCTCTTGCTCAGCGCTGGAAGGCCAGGAACAATCTGACCCGCACCAAGAGAGCGGAAAGCAGCTGTAAGACCAACGGCTGCTTCACCCCCGACCGCCTGCAGAACGGCGCTGTGTAGTAATGAAACCCAGGGAAGGCCTTCGATCTTGAACCAGCATGCTCATAATTTGCCATGGGCCCGCATACCTTGGACCTTGGACTCCAGCTTAAAGTCAGGACCCAAGTGACCCTTAATTTCAGCAGGAGCCTAACACAGGCCGAGGAGACCGCAGTAACACGTCTAAGAACATGCAGCAGTTGGGACGTTGGTGAATGATTGAACTTTTAAAGAGCCAAAATTATGTTCTGCAAAATATTTTACCCCCTTACTCTTGTTCTTATCAAACAGTACATGCATCCAAACTGACACAGCACGTTTTAATATTAGCTGCTTTCCAATTATAACTTATTAAAAAACAATCTGTTTCCCAACGCAACAACAAAATCTGCAATCACTTTGCAGTATCTTCACATTGCACATTAATATTGCTGGAAACTAAGCTATGCAGTTGAGCTTGAAATCCTGTTATCCGAAATCCTTCTATCATTCTGCGATGCCATTAATGGAAGCACATATCCATGAAGAAATACTTCTTACTTACTTTCTCTGGAAGCATTTACCTGTATCTGTAAACCTGTACTCACTGGTATGCACTTTGGGCCAAGTTGTGATTATGCTGCATGACATTTCTTATGACCTTTTTAACTGCCAGCAACCACTTAAAGCTGGGGTAGGCAGTTTTTTGGCAACGGCAAAAAGAAAAACGCCAAAATTTGAAAACACAGCCTTCCTCCTGCACCTATGCCCTCTCTGGCCTAAGCCCCTCCTACCTACAGAAACATGAACATTTGCCACAGCCATGAGCCTATGACTACAGTTAGCGCTTCGGTTTCTGAAACACTTCACCGATATTTAAACGTTTTTATTGTGTTCTTTGCCAGACTCTCTTTTAGCCCGTCTTCCTTTTTTGGGTTGTTTTGTAGTGTAGTTAGTTGTTGCCAATGCTCGAATAGCAACTTTTCTGCAAGATTTTCCACCAGTGGATCAGGCTTTCACCATCTGAAGGGACGTGCACGTGCATCTGCATTTGCAGAACAGCCAATAGGAGTGACCTATGACTAGCCACAGTCTCCCTAGCAACCCAAAAACAGAGCCAAGAGGAGGTGCAGGAGTCATGTTTTCTCTCAGGCTAGTTGAATTACAGTATGCTCAAAAGTTATTATGGGATTTTTCCCCCAAAGATGCCAAAAATAAATCAATAAATAAAAACTGCCTACCCGAGCTGTAACTGCAGCCTGCTTCTGTGACACAAAGTGTAACCTGCTCTTCAAAGCCAAAAAGCAGCAACTGCTTCAGTAGTTTAATCTCTTGCCCCAGCAGGATTATCGTAGGCACAGGGGTAGATTGTACGGCATGTTCTAGCATTTAGAGGTATAATCATATTCTCTTATTTATATCCTTATTATTAATATTCTGGACACTTTTATTTGTCTGTCAGCTACTTCAGCATACTTTGACAGACACACTATTCAAACTGCAAAATGTTCAGCTCGTTTGGACATCCGTGCTGCTGTCCAGACTTTTGTATATCTTTCTTTCAACTTTTTGCCCCAGAAATTACTGGACAGAATGTTAAAAGTTTAAACATTTTCATTTCCTCTTGAAGCCTTTCATTCATTGGTTCATCTACTACCTTTTGTACTTTATGACACTACTTCTGTTTTTCATACCTCTCATAGTTTTTTAATAATGTGTGTGCGTGGTGTTGGTGATTCAGAGGCAGTGAAAAGTTAAACTGACCCTTCAACTTCGTTCATCTCTTACCTACATAAAAACTGACACTTTAACTGCGGACAGTGCACAGACAAACTGTCTCTACAACTGAGATTTCACCTACTTTCAGCAGTAAACACGTCTGTTGACATGCTTAATTTATTTTTATATAACTTTTATTTTGCTAGGATCAGTCCCATTAAAATTAAAAATCTCTTTTTCAAGGGAGTCCTGGCCAAGATAGGCAGCAGCACAAGTTTCTGCTCTTATCTCTTACTCTTTATCTGACAACTGAACATCTATTAGTCAACTGATCTATCTTAGTCGAGTTTATCACAGGAAACGCAGTTCAACTTTTATTTGTAATGCTGCAAATGACAGTTCAGCTGCTTTTATGTTTTATACTTTAACAATTCAGCTGCTTTCAGCGCTTGTGAGTCAACTGATATTTCAGTTGCTTTCATTCTAATACTTCAGTTTCTTTCAGCTTTTATTCTTTAGCTGACAGTCCAATAACGCTCTCTTCTGGGAACCAGACAAATCTGCGAGCTTATGTTTTACTTGCTCTGGCAGATGCATCTGGTCCTCCTCCGCTTTGGACAGATTTCAAGCCACCTGAGACGTGCCAGGCCAATCCCAACCATTTATTTGATGATAGGCTTGTTTGTGACAAAGACCGTGAAGAGGAGCTCCGTTGAGTCATTTTCGAAAACAAGATGGCTGCAGCTGATGTGGACCTTTCTGTCAAAGTTTTGAATTGCCTGGGTCCAGACCCTTAAAATCCGTCTATGACACGGACTGATTTGTCGGGCATCATGACATGATGGTTAAAAGCAATCAATTCAAAGAATGCTGTGGGTGGACGAACGATTAGCCAGTCACTGCCATGGCAAGACCAAGTTGTGCGCTCTCTGTGGTCCACACCTTCCACTCACTCTGCCATGTTGACTGATTACATAGAGGCAAGTCTTATCCACAACACTTAACATCATAGTTTGGTTTTACTTAGCTCTGCTCCACCCTGAAAAGTCCGGCAAAACCAGTATGTTGGCATGGTTACGATGAAAACAATGTAATGAGCCAAAAATTCTGTCTGACCTCAGGCAAAGTAAAACGAACTGGCCGGTATGATTTAACTTAACGAAGAACAATGACCTGCACTTAAAGCTTTACTTGAGAAGGAGGATGTTTGCTTTACTTCAACAGGGTTTAGCAACAGTCATATACCAACTCATAATATACCAGCTCATCTTTGCACGCTGTCAGGCAGTAATTTCCACCCACTTTTCACCAAATCCTTCAAGTGATTGGCTGGTACTGCTGTGCTGTCATTGGCCATCTACACCATACCTGGTCACACACTGATAAGCCTTTGAGAACGCCCCTTGGAAATCAAAAATTAAATGAGAGGATCCAACTAACTTGCATGTGGAGTTTGGTGTGGCCATGTCAGGCTAACTGCATTTAAACACATACAAATATTTGCTAAAAGGCAACAAACCTAAAACTGAAGCTTTCAGCCATGACACTTTAACTGCTTTCAGCTGCCTTCTGCTCTGTCACCTCAGCTTGTTTCAATGCTCACTTCAAATGACAATTCAAACATTTTTAGTGCTTCAGCGTCAACTGGCATTCACCTCCTTTCATCACATTTTAACCTGTTTACAGTGTTTGCACCTGCAGTTTTGAGTGCAAGCGAGCACACTTCATTTCCTTCAGAAAACTTAATTATTCTTTTGTTGTATCAAAACCGCAGTAATGACCTTTTTAAACACTACAACAAACTATAAACTGCCTCTTTCCTTTGTGGGTCAGCAGTGAATCATTTTAATAACTGCACATTCACGTTATGTTTTACTCTGCAGTGCCTGCAGGTAACGGTCACGCCTAGCTCACCGTCTGCGAGCTGTTCTATGCAAGTGCTAACACACAGAGAGATATCTTTCATTGACAGCTCACTTGTACATCATTTAAACTGTAGCAACGATACCAGCTCCTTAAAGAAGAAGCCAGGTTGGTCGAGATTTAAGTATGCCTCCTAAATATATTGATCACAGTTGGACTGCTGATGAGCTCCGCTGAAAAGCAGGGTTTTCTGTGTCATTCTGTCGACCTTGTGTGTCTGTAAATCTCTGACCAACTGCGTCACAAAGATGTTTTGCTGATGTTGCCCATATAAACTGGACTGATAGGAAACCGTTGCCTCGCCTTTACAGTGCCTAAGGCAGCCAATTAATGGCAATGCAACTTCTTATGATATTGTGTTTATATATGGGAGTCTGTTGGTTGTTTTTTATGTCGTAGAGGTTTTTGTGTTTTCAGTAAATTCCTTGTTTTTCACCACTGTTTGCCTTACAAGGTACTGTAATGTATCTTTACTAACTCCTGTGATGTCAGCCAAAGACACATTAGAAACCTACCTGCAACTTGAAGCTTATTATTAGTTAAAAAAAAAAAAAGGTTTTAGCTGTTTAAATATATTTTAAATGTGATGACCCTCCATTATACAGTCATTAAGTCTTACTTGAGGGCAGCCCAGGATCCAGTGCTGGATGTGTTTTGTTACGCTGCCCTCTTGTGGCAGAGGGAAGCCTCTACTCAAAGAATGCTGTCTCAATTAGTACCAAATTATTCCCCCTCATCTCACTTTCACAATACTGAGCAAGGCTCTTTGTATTGTTTCAATAACGACAGTCATGCACAAAAGCTCTTTTGGCTCACGAGTTGCATTCACCACCAGTATGCTTTTGTGATTGAGGGCCACAGAATATTTTGTACCATAACAAATCTTTTATGAAATGTACTTGATGCTTTAAAAGTAGATTTTGGTTTGGGATTATTTTACTTTATAGTTATCTGGATATGTTAAGGATCTGTATGTTTGAGCATTATCTTGAAATCATTTTTATGTCCCTCTGGTAATGTCTTAAACGCCACTGATAATGACCTGAGTTTGGTTTGATGGTATTGAATCTTATGTTTTTTGTTGCAGCAAATGCATTTATGGGTAAAGCACTGTTTTGTCACTACTCTGGCTCCCGGATTTGTGAACTGATAGTTTAGAGAATATGCTTAACCAATCATAGATATCCTGTTCCAAGTCCTTAGAGTTCATTTTTAAGCCTTGTAACAGTGCGCAGTCAGCTGTAATAAACTGACATGTGACTCAAGTCTGTGCTGGTTTGATTCAGACAACTCGGAGCAATAAATGCACTGATACCACGCTGACGTCTATCTCTCTCTGCAAGGAAGACACTCACAAGTTGCATCATCTTTAACATGTTTTATTGACACATTTTTTAAACACAGACATGAAAACACAAAATGATTCAACTATATTTTTACATTCATTTTCATCTTGGATTTAAAAGTGGACACATCAAATACTTATTATTCCACTTTGGTAAAAAAACAAAAAACAATTTAATGTCATTACAGATTGTTAATGTTACAGTAAACAGGTTACTTACAGTAGATGACACCTGATGGGTGGCGTGGAAACACACTGATGCAACAGCAGCAGTCCAGTGGAGCTCTGAATGAGAAACATACAAACATATTTTAATCTTGTGAGCAGTTTACATGTGAAATAATTTGAAAATGATTGTTTGTGCAAATTAACACAAATTTATATGATGATTAGGGCTGCAACTATTCATCATTTTCATTGATGAATAATCTCTTTTATTTTCTCAATTAATTGATTAGTTTTTTGATCTATTAAATGTCCGAAAATTGTGAAAACATATTGATCAGTGTTTCCCAAAGTCCAAGATGACCTCCTTTAAATGTCCCAACCCAATATTCAGTTTACTGTCACAGAGGAGAAATGAATCAAGAAAATATTCACATTTAAGAAGCTGGAATCAGAAAACTTTTTTCTCTTAGAAATTACTAACACTGATTAATCAGTTATAAAATTATTTGGCAATTAATGTAATAGATGACAGCTAATCCATTAATTAATTAGTCGTTCTGGAACTAATCCTGATCAACGCAATATCTGAGTGCTTTACGCTATGATAAACTGCTCTGCACTCAGCATGGAGAACATAATTAAGGTGTGAAATTGTAGTTGACACATTTTGTGGCTTTAATAGATCACTGTGTTGTCTAACACTAAGTCAGGTGATCTATCTGACAGTAATGCATGAGCAAGTATAATGACACGAAATGTGTTGCACCGAGGTGATAATACAGTGCCATATTTTTTACAGAATGTTGAGATCTCAAACTAACACTGGCACAAAATTGGCACCTTAAGAACGGATCATAGGTAACAACCCTTGTTTGGAAATGTGGTGACACCGAACTCTGTATAATTAAATTTCCTACTTTATCCAGATGGAGTTCAATTAATTTCACTAATAGCCTTCAAAATTTGTGTAAATTTTAGAATTCCTTGTTTTGAGAGGGTGAAGTGGACCTATTTTCTTTAACGATTACGTTATCTACAAAATTGCCACTTGTAAATCAATCAGTCATGCAGTGTTACCTTGAATTTGTGGACAAAACCTTGTTTTTCTCGCATGCCTTCACAGAAAATGACAAACATGGTAACTCATCAATTGATTGAAGGCCATTGAACAACAGCAAAACTATATCAAAGCATACATTTAACTCTCACACAACTTGTGCAGTATAATCCAAGTCTCATTTATCCAGTCCTATACTCACTACTTCCCAAACACATGCATTTTTGCTGAAACTTTTACTTCAGTTTTAAATCGTAATGTTTTAGTGAAAATGTGTGTTTGGGAAGTAGTGTGTGTACCATTGGATAAATGAGACTTGGAATACAATGTTTTGTGTGTGAGTTTGTAAATGGATGTTTTGATATAGTTTGGCTGTTGTTAAATGTGACCCTGAATCAATCAATAAATCAATATGTTCGGCATTTTCCATGGAGGCATGCGAGATAATCAAAGTTTCCCTCACAAATTCAATGTAATAGGGCATGACTAACTGATATACAAATGTTCATTTTGTGAGTGCAGTATTCCTTTAACACTTTGTTTCAAGACAAAAGCTAATATCTCATTTTAAAATGAAACACTAGAGAACACCTGACCAAGTATTGTACTGCTGCTTATATTGATTAGTAAAATTTTAATTGCATGCCTCTCTAGGTTTGGTTTGACACTGTGGCAATGTGATAAATAGCACATGTAGCTGCGTAAACATACTGGAATTAATGTAAAAGGCATTCTGCTATCAGCAAAGTATTAATGAATTGATTTTATTTTCACAAGCTACATTTTAATTACAAAATGGTGGCCTATTGGTGGATTTATAAGCTCAAGGACTGGGCTTCCTTTCACTCTCACATTAATATTCTCCACTCTATTAACTGGAGGTTATCATTTGTGGCCTGCAGACATTAACATCTCCTAATGCAAAATATAGTTATGTGCCAGTAGCCATTTGTTCTATCTCATTATTGAACCTTTAAATTACATTTTGCCTGACTGATATTGCTAATGTGGGCTTGAGCAAGAACTAATCTAATAAAGAGGTCTTTTAGCACGATGTGTAACATTATCTATGATCAGGAGTTGCTTACTGACAATGCTCAACATGAATAAATGTGTCTTAATAAAAGACAATACATGAGCTTAAAGCTGTTTTTGCCTGCCATGAAAAAAAAATTTGGGCCTTTATAACTGAGCCTACACCAGTTTTCTGACAGACTACATTACATTAACCTTTTTAACCTGTCCTGTAGCTTCTGGAGATTTGTCTTTAAGTGAAAGGTAATTCTCATTTGGTTTAACATCTCAACTGAGGCTGCAAAACACAACTAAATGTGTAGGATTGTTTTTATCTCACCTACTCAGAGGGTCCAACAGCTGCAGCAGGTTAACTGTAAAAATTCCACCTTTTACATCAATTTAGTAATGAATGTAAACAAACACCTCTGCATGAGTATATTTTTCAAAGAGTATACATTCTGGTAGTAAAATGTGCACTATTTAATACAATTAATATCATTTTTGTTTTGCTGATTCTCAAGCTTGTGATGGGAGCAGTGCTACGTGCAGTGGGCTGTTGTGGGCAGTAAATGCTCCTGTTATCTTTCACAATAAGCATTTTTCACTGAAGACATTTTGACTTGTCACAGCAGGAAAAGCCCAGGTGAAAATAATGAAATTCACAATGGCTGAACTACATTTGGCTGCATTGATTTCAGGTTCCTGCTATCGTGCATGCTGGCTCACAGTCACTCTCTCTGGAACGTCTGAATACAACTGTGCTTTTCCTACTGTGACAAGTCAAAATGTCTGCTGTGAGAAAGGGCTATTGGATTAATGCCAGTTGCCATCAGCGGAAATAACCTCAGTAATGACTTTGGCTGAAAACCAGTGTGCCATTATGCATTTGTTATTGTAAACATGGTGGTGTGGACACTTTATACTTACCACTGCTGCCTAAGCCACCGATACAGACCTGGCAGGCAGCACTTCTTCTCTGTACTCACCCTCATGTTGTGTCTATACAGCAGTCGTACAGTGATACCAGCTCTGTCCTGGGTGTCTGATGTGCATGAGTGTGACTTGTCAGGTAGACTATGAGTGGAAGGCAGGAGCTCCATGTTCCTCAAGATGGCAATGTTTCTCTACTGAAGTAAGGGGTCCTTCTCAGCACAGCACACCGCATTTGCTTTCAAACTATTATGACTAAACTGGATGGTAGGAGGAAATGGAAAACTTCTTTTCCTGTTTAAAGTGGCCTTAAACTTATAAAAGGGCACTGGCAAAATAAACAGGTCTCCTAGAAGAATCTGAGGGAGGGCTTGTGTCCGCGGCGTGGACTCCTTCCAGCAGTGTCAAAAAGGGTAAACAATCTGGCCTGTCGGTGTGTCATTTCCATGCTGCAGCAGAACTCAGACGACGATGGAACACAGCTTCAGCACAGCAGACATGCGTCTTCACTCGTCTCCTCGGAGAGGGTTCAATCAGAGGAGAACACAAAGACGGGGACAAACAATATTCCTAGCTGAGGTTTGGGCCAATCCTCTTCCCTGAGCCAAACATTAAGTCAAATCAAATCATAACTGGGCAAAGTATGATAAAGACAAATCAGCCCAGTGGTTCAGCTTGGCCTCTGCACTGAGACAGCTTGAACTGTTATGGAAATTTCGGAGCGGTGTCACCCACAATCTCCCGAGTGGAGTGTGTGACGGTCGGTGATGGGATTTCCTCAGCTCCTATTCAGAACCAGGAACAATGCACATGAAAACCTTTAGAGTAATGAGCAGGGAAGACAACAGGAAACCGGCACGTGCTGCTGTTTGCTCCTGCTCTCGGCTCCCGAACTGCGCCGCTGTCTGCACCTGCCACTGTTTCACACTGCAAACTGGCTGTAAACAAGAGGCAGCGGAGGCTCCTCCATCCTGATCAGGTGTTCACATGCCAACAGGAAACGTTGAGGGTGTAACAGGGGATCATGGGGGAGTAACTTATGATGGGTCAACTCAGAAGCTCAGAGCAGGCCTGCAAGCAAACAGCGATCCTCACACGACATGTGGGTCTCTCTTCACTGGTGCTAAACAAACTGCATATTGTCTCCCTTCTCGTGTGCAGAAACACAATTTCAAGTGACAACTCCTTTCGAAACACAATAAGGCATGGCAGCGTGTTTCTTCAATTCACTTCCATCGAAGAAACATGTTTCCCTTCAAATGAACAATTTATTGATAATCGGTCACATTAAGTGCCCAAACGCACTTGCAGGTATGTGAACAGCTTCGCATGGGCTCTACGGATTTTCCTTTCCCATGACATCAAAGTGTACATTGCTCAATTTTCCACTTAAAACAGAAGTCAGCACAGGTGCAGATGGGATACACAACTTAAAAGTTGCCTCATTAGCGAGGACTCACAAACACCTTCTCTGCAGAGGTTTTTCAGCCCTGCGCTCGTCTCCTCGAGAGTCCAGCGTTGAAGTGGGTGTGATGTTCACATATATAACAGTTTTCTGACATATTAATGTTTTCAATACAGAATAAACCAAACTCAGCAAATTATAATTCGGGGTGGGTTACTATTGCATGACAAACATACAATGGCAAAACAAAATATGGTAAGTAGGCCTTGGTAACATGTCAGCAGGCGTGAGAAAGTACTGTCCAATTTAGACCTCTAAAATTCTGATTCAAACATAAACTGTTATAAACTGTTAAAGTATTTCTAAAACTTTAAAATGACACAGACCTACTTACTGAACAAATAGCAGGTTTTACTTACTTTGTACCAACATTTTACTGAACTGAATATTATCAATCTTGGAGGGCCTACTGGTTTCAGAGCAATAAATCAAACAACACAAAACTCTCTAAGCGTTTTTATCCATTACTGCTGTAGTTTTTCATAGATCACGTTACACAACCATTTCTAAGGTAGGGATGCACAAAATAAAATATGAAGTAAAAAATATGAAAAACATGTTAGTATTTGCTTACTATGCTATGCGTATTGTGTTACGGGCTGTTCCCTGGGCAAAAATCTCACATCTGTTAGTATTCGGCATTCCACATTAAGTTGACATTTAGTTTTACCAGTGGACACAGTTCATTGTCTATCTTGCATTTTGGTGTTCCAATATTGAGGGACACATGATTAGAGATATGTCAAAATCCAAACCATGAGCCTGAACATGTCTTTTTTTCAAACAAAAGTCACAACATAGGTGACTGAAATGTGTGAGCTGTGTCTGGAGACATTTTATACAGTGACCTTTTAAACATTGTCCAACTTTGAGAACACACACAGGTAGGCCAGTGTGAGCCCATCAAAATTAAAACATGTCGCATACCTCTTCTTCAGTACAACACGCTCCATTCACCAAAAATTTTAAGCCTCTTTTAAGCTGTCTTGTTTTGATCAGGGTGGTTAACTGATTAAAGCAAGACAGATGAAAACATCAAGTGATTGGCGTGTGATGAGCTGGAGAAAAGCTATACGACATGTTTTGACCTTCAAAATGTTACCAGGAGTCTTTTTCCTGATTAGCTTTGTACCAAACCATACACTACACCTTAACCCTCAATGCAAAAATGTCATGCTCATCTTCGTCTCCATCTCCATCAAAAGTGATTATAGTAAAAATATTATTGCACCGTAATCCAAAGCTTTGAAAAAGGATGTTTTCTGATCCCCCTCATGTTAATGCCTCCACAGGAGGTAGACACAATAACACCTATACAATCTAAGGCAGCGCAGTATAACAGCCCAGACAGAAAAATGACCTTTGTAAAGCTTGTAACTTTTCAGCTTTTGTTAACACTGCGTCAGGGAGGTGTGGCTTGTGAGGCCATTGTTTGTGTTTTTATTGTAGTGCAGGTGTTATTGTGTCTACTCAATGCATTTCTAAATGATCTGGCTCTTTTCTTGCAGTAGAGTTGGGTAATTAAGATTTTAAACCTGTAAATGAAACAAACATTTGTTTTCTATGTGACTTAGCTCTTCTTAAATGAAATTTATTCATCAAATGCTCCTATGCTCATATTTAACTGTTTTACTGTATTCTGTCTGAATTACTGCAGGTTTATGACTCTGTGAGCAATTCACACACCCTTTAAAAATGATTTCAAAAACACACATCCTTTTAGTTTTGAACGAGGGCACTGTTTGTCCTTTTAGTGGATTACATGGCAACATACAAACACTCAAGAACCATACTAGTGTACCCCATAATGCAGAACACACAGCATGCAATAGTTACTGACATACAGCAGATTCTTTTTTTTTTTTTTTTTTTTTTTGTTAAACACCATTTGAACTTAGTGTGTTCTGATTTTTTTTAAGATGCTCCACGGACCACAATCATGACCAGATAGTCCTCTTCACTTTTAGCCAGAGCTTTGGCAGAAGAATCCAGGAACTGCTGGGAGAAATCACAGGGTGGGAAAGCATGAAGCACCCCTGTGTTGTCTTTATCTCTGCTCCCTCCCACAGGTAGGCTGATGACTCCAGCTGCTTGTTTTTGGTTGAGGTAGGACACCAGGTTGCGAAGCGGCCGCTGAGTTGAAGCTGCAGGGTCAGACGCAGATGAATCCTCTGTGGTCCCAGGTACTGCCAGCAGGATGGCGTAGCCACCAGGACCCGCCACCTTGATGCGCCGAGACACCTCGTCAAGCTTGGGCTGGTCCAGACGAAGACGCTGGGTGATCTTTAGCTCGCTCACCTGCCTCCCTGTTGTGCCCTCGACAAGCAGGTCGCTGGCTACGTTGTGGTCGCCCTCCAGCAGGTGCATGTTGGCTGGGAAGTTGCTGTTCTTGAGCAGCAGCATACCTTGCCAGGCCAGACTTAGTTTGGTGCCGTCTTGTTTGGACGGAGGGCCTCCCTTGGAACTGCCCTCAGAACGCTCTCTCTTGGCCGGCCCCTTACCACCATCGCCTGCTTTGCGCTTTCGCTCTCCAACTGCTGAAACGCCACTGCTTGAAGGTCCCTTGTCAGAGAGACTCTGGCTTTTAAGTCTACGTTCAGCCCCACCTCTTTCCAGGCTGCTGTGGCGTTCTCGTACAGGAGAGGGTCTCTCGCCCCGAAGAGGGCGCTCTGAGTCACTGAAGCGCCCTCCATCTCTGCTGCTACCTCCAGGACTGCCATCTGGAGAAGCACGTCTACGCCGTACTGTCCTCTCAGTGCTGTCAGGAGAGTGGTCTATGTGGCGTCCGTCTTCCATTAAACGGCGTTTGCGAGCAGGTTCTCGTCCCTGAAGCTCTCGTTCCAAAGACCAGGGCTCTCTGACTCGCCGTTCACGCTCCAAGTGCTCAAGGGGTTCAAAGGGTGAGGCGCGTACCCGCTCACGAATAGCTGGGTTGGGCCACTCAGTTCCAGGAAACAGCTCTCTCTCCCTAAAGTGAAGCGGCGGTGGAGTCCGTTCCCTGACCCTCAGAGGTTCAGGTGTGGCACGGTGGACAAATGACTCCGCCACCATGTCAAACGGTGGTATTGGGAGAGGCTGCAGGAACTGCTGCTGGTAGCGATGCTCTGTGTCAGCAAAGTCCACCCTGAGTCTCCTCTCAGGACCTCCCAGCGGGAAGCCCCTCATGTGTGTGCATGCTGCTTGTGCAGCGTCCAAACTTTCATATTGAATGTAGGCCCAAGTGTCCCCCTTTCTATAGTCAATGGTCCTTATTGTGCCAAAGCGATCAAACTCTCTTGCCAGGGCAGCCACAGGAACCCAGGGTCCAAGTCCACCCACCCACAGGCGTGTGGTGGGAGTTGCTTTCCCATAGCCTATCTTTATAGGGTTGTGGCCTACTATTTTGCCAGACATACTAAGCTTAGCACGGTGGGCCATGTCAAGATTCTCAAATTTCAGAAATCCATATGTGCTGGTTTGTCCCCGTGTGGGTCTCTTAATGTCCACTTCCGTTATGACCCCAAACCTGTCAAAGGCTCTCCTCAGGTCTGCTTCTGTAACAGTTATGTCCAGGTTGCCTAAAAATAACGTCCTATTAGCTCTTTGGTCATCTTCTGGAGATATAAAATCCTCCTCACGAAAAGCTGCTCGCTCTGCAATGAAAGCAGGACGTGCCCTGGCTTCAAACAGTGCAAACTCTCTGTCCCGCTCCAGTTCCCTAGGCAGAGGGGGCGGCGGGGGCGGGGGGAGCCGTCCCAGGGCCAGCTGCTGCAGCCGGTAGTCTCTGTATCCAAGCCCGGTGGGCGAGAGAGGTCTCTGCAAATGTCTATGGCTTTGCGCTGCACCGTACAAGTCTCTCTCCACAGGGGAGCGGCTTCTCCTCCTGTTGATGTACACTGCCTCGATCTTTAGCGGCCGGTCGTACAGCACCAGCCGTCCCCTCGCGTGTTTAGCAGCTCTGGCGTCCTCCGGCTTCCTGAAATTCACAAACGCTATCCGTTCGTCGTTGCTACGGCTTATCTTTACGCTCACATCCCCGAATTTTTTAAATTCATGAAAGAGTCCATCCTCAATGTCTTCGTCGCTCAGCTGGGTGCCGAGGTCGCTTATTTTGAGGGTTTTGTACTCACTCTCGGTGCTGGGCGGCTGCACCCGCGGCTCCCCCCGTGAAGTGGTCCTTGGTGAGGCTAGATCCAGCGTCAGGCTCAGGTTGTGGTTTTTACCGACGGAGCTCGCGGCAGCAGACTGACAACTGTGATTATTTCCTGTCCGGCCGTGCCCGTCGAAATCTCTGTCTCTTTTATCGCCGAGCAGACTCCTTCTCGTCGAGCCACCGTCGCCTTTGGTCGAGCTATTTCCATTATTACTCCCACTGGAAACAGAAAGAGCCCCCATTTTCTTGCTGGTCGGGTGGCATCCTCCCCTGTCTCGAATATCGTCCAAGGCCCGGGAGCGTTTTTTAATCGGCGACCGCTCTTTACCTTTCATCTCAGTCCACACGGAGCCGACTCTTGGGACGCCTGGGGTTTTTAGTGCTGTTTCTGCGAGTGGGTGCAGAAAATTACTGAAATGAAAAACGGATTTATTCACTGACCCTGCGGCAAAACAACAACAGTCGCCATTTTGTAAAGATTACTGTGAAGGCCCGCCCCTTCGCCCTGATTGGTTGAAAGAGTGGGTGGAAAACTTTAAAGCGCACGTCAATCATCCGCTGAGGCATTTACATGCAAATGTTTATTTCAATTTCTGTATCTAAGTGAATGCGTTGAACAAAATAATTATAAATAAAAATAACACATTACATGTACTGTGGTTCAACACAAAACACTTTCTGTTGCCTGTTATCAGTCATTACCTCTCTGACATAACAATACTAAACATTATAAGCACAATAACATCGTATCATATGTTTTTACCCATCTCCAGTCAAATTACTTCACTGTCATGGACAGTAGATTGTTTCCATTTTATTACTGTAAAAATGAATCTAAAATTTCACAGGAGGGGAAACGAAATGACCATGGCGCAGGGAGGGAGAGAGAAGCTTTTTTCATTAATACCACAAGATGGCAGCATTTGAACAGTAGCTCGAAAAGCACAGTAGCACATAAACCCTTAACTAATCCTTAAAATGACCTTGGATAGGCTTAAGGTCCTTCTACTATGTGGACAAAGCAATAAGTCACAATGCATTTTCTCCTGAGTATAAAGTTGGACAGCTCCAGTCATAATTGTTGGACTTTTGTAAAGATTAAAAATGTAATTAACAGCATTTTAAGTCAATAAGTAGTTAATTAGCCTAGTTAGGTAGGGTACTGTAGGTTAATTGGATAGATTTAAGGCTGGAATGTCAAACATATGGCCCATGGACCAGAACCAGCTCTCCAAAGGGTCCAATCCAGCCCACTGGGTGACTTTGCACACCTAATATTGACTCACTTGAGAAGGTTAAGAGGTGTCAGGTGTCAGGAGCAGGTTAAATAGCAAGTAGCCTACTTACTGCTTCAGAGGCTTTTCAACTCTGACCAGGATACAGTTCTTTGTGTGGTCACATTTAAAGATACTGATCGCTGTGCAAAATACTGTCGATCAGCAGCTTCAGTTCAAAGGAAGCTGTATCAGACATCTGTCTTCAGACAATACTGGTGAAACCCTCGTGCTAGGACACAGCCGAAACTTTTGATTTGTAAAATGGTTTGTCAGGCATAGAATAACTTGGGGGAAGAAAAAATTAACTTCAGGCACTCATGTGTGGAGCAGAAACAAATGCATAAGAATGAAGTTAAAAAGCCTTTATTCAAAAAACATGGGTGCTTACATTAAAATCTTCACCAGGGTGCAATGTCAGTAATGTTTGTATCAGAATTTTCTTTTTTCCTGAACAGTTGTGGAGACGTGTCACTTTCAGTATGGCCTCTCATTGTAATCCATTGATGTCACCTACCTGTGCTCACTTATTAATCAAGATTGAGTGACACCCCCTTCCAAGCTTTTAGAAATGTTTTGCTTGAACCCTGTCCACCCTTTTGCACCCTGACGAAGACCTTAGGGTGGACCCGTTTTCTTGAGTATTGTATAATAAAGACAGTCCTCGAGCACACTGATACCTCGTTCTCCATAGAATAACTTAACCTGCTTCATCAGTAGCTTCAACTTTAGTTTGGTTTGGTGTGGAAATGTATGGAAAAATGCACACTTAGTGCCAGTGAGAAATAGACTGATGGAATCTGGAAAAACTGATCCATAATGTTGAAGTTGCACAATTTTCCTTGAGACATCTCAGGCTGTTCACCATCTGTTTTGTAAATTGATTATTTCTTTTCAGAGTGCACTTGTACATAGAAAGTGGTAGAAAGGGAAACATTTGGAGGTGTGGTTATATATAGGTTATTATGCAATGGTTTTACTGGTCCTTGAACCATGAACTAAAATGAGCTTGGCACCCCTGATTAAAGGACTCTGTGGGCCAACTTGGTTACCTTTAGATACAAGTGTTTCCTTTTGGGAAGTATTAGTTGAAAGTAAAAACAGAAAACAGACTACTGTTCTTTGCTTTCCTTGTGTGTTGTTGGACCTACTTACATCCATTTCTGTGTCCAATATTTGTTTGAATCACGCTGAAATAAAACAACTATGAACCACTTTTTGCCTCTCTGGATATGCGCACACTCTACAATTAAATTCAAACAGTCAGCTCAGTGTGACACTGTTTTTTGTTTGTGTGGACTATGAACTATTAAGGAAGTTCTACTGATAAATATCTGGAAGCAGCCAAATGCTTCATGACAAACAGTTATGATCTTGCTTCACTCCACTGTTTGACTGTGTTACTGAGTTGGCCGCACTCTGCTACCACATTGTTTAGCTGAGCGGGACATGTTAATGCTGTCCGACTACTTCAAATCAAAGGATCTGTTGTGTCACAATAGCTGCACTTCAAGGCCAAGATAAATCTTGTTGAGATCAAAGCTCAGAACAGTGGCCAGCAGGCAGCTGTACAGATTTTAATGAGCATTAAATCATATTTTTTGTCCATTAATGAGGCTGGGGGTATAGTAATTTCCAGGCTCTAGTGACAGTCTTCACCCGATGACCCTTACACACAGAGTGATGTAAAGTTAATAACCTCCCCCAGCATTGTGCGCTCAACATTTCTCATTTCATTTTCTGACAAATCACGAAAGGCCTCTGCAGCCTGATATATTGAGCTGATACAGATCAAAGCTTATGCCACACCACTGTAACTTTAATGACAACTTAATCCAAACTTATGACCACCTATTGTGATATGAGGTAATTAGTTTTGGTCCTGTTTGTAAGTGGAATAAACCAAACTGCAATTATGATATTGTTAGTTATTCTATTACAGCTGTCCTGACAGTGTGCAAGAGTTAACATATCATATTCACTAAGCTGCTGAGTTTCCTCCTTTGTTTATGGACAGATAGATTTGATTAACCTGCTCCCTATCTAAAAATAAATATTAAAATTGAATGCTGATCCACCATCTGCCATTTCTTCAGCTTTCCTAAAGATGGCCATCTCCTCAGTCCCTTATCCCTTCTGACAGGTCTCCTTATCTTCTCCACTTAATCTGGGATTTAATCAGGGGGACTATGTAACTGCAGTAAGGGCTGCCGTCTCCCAGGGCCTGGCTGGAATTTGAAGCTGTGGGTGTGGAAAGTGTTTCTGATGGGTTTGTGCATTCTTCTATTGGAACCACATGTTAGTGGCTCGCACAAAACCCCGGCACAGACTAAGGGAATGGCAGCTGATCCGCCCCAGCATGGCTGTCATGGTGGAGCAAGCAAAAGGGAAAGCAGAGCCAGTTTATTTGCCCGTAAGCCATGTACATTTCTGTGGAGTAAGTAGAGCTTGGAAGGGCTTTGTCCACCAGTGGAACTTTCTTTTTTCTCAATTCAAGTTGCATTCTCAATCTCTCACAGATTTAAATGTTTGCACATCTGACATGAATATGTTGGTATTTAGTAATTTGCACCAGATGGGATGGTACCATGCAATTCACTGTTTCCTTGACAATAAAGTAAATTGTTTGGGGTAAAGCACAACAAGGAGATTTCCTGAAAACAATTATTAGGAATGTGTTCAGAGTGTGAGACTAAGTATGCCACGGGAACATATTTATGGCATGTTCTTAAAAAACACAACACATGAATATGAATATGTAATCATTTATAAATAAAAGCAGAAAGCAGATGAACTGGCTTCAATGGATAATATTACCAAAACAAAACACGCTCTGGGCCATGGTAACAACCAATTTCTTCTACTAAACTGTAAGTCATTACTCAGTTGGTCGGGTTTACCGCTGATGCCAGATGTGAATGAGAAATGCCTCAATGTGAAGCCATCCTTCTGCGGGAGGCTCTTTACTTTATCATCAATAGTGGAGTGCGGTTGCTCAGTTAGCTTTCCATTAATGAACCTGCCACTCGCTCCTGATACATGAGGTGCCACCTGAAGGCCTCTTGAAGTGAGGCCAAGTAGGCTGCACACATCTCTCTGAGCACGTCCCAGATACAATGAAGCTCACTTCCCGCACAGCAGAAGTCTTTGTGTTTATGGCAACCACAGCCTGTGAAGCATTTTTGCTTCACAACCACATTCCCAGTTAAATATGTGACACAGACGTTTGGTTGGCTCTCTTAGTTATCTTTTTTTTTTTTTTTTTTATTTAACTGTCATGTCAAGCCTAAAATAATTCTGCCTGAGATCCTTTTGTTCCGTTTTCTTAATCTGTTTTCCCAAAAAATACTTTCCTACTCAATAAAACAGAAGATTTACATGGAGGCCTTTATTACTGGTCACACTACAAAGCACAACAGACAAAAACAAAACATGATGACTATGATAATTACAATTTTTACATGCTTAAATAATTTCTCCTCTTTGGTCTCAGCATTGTGATATCAAACTAAAACTGGAACCAATAATGTTCCTATTAATACACTGGGTTTTTGTGCTAGAGGCTCAAGTTTCCCACAATGTTCATGAAATTCATATTCCAACATCTCCTGAATTGTGAAAAGTCCCCATGTCGGCTTACATAAATGTTAAGAGGAATTATTTGAGTCATATGCTGAGGTGGGTGTGTACATCGGGGACTGTGTATGGGTCAGGAATGTAATATGCTTTGGCTCAGTCAGTGCATAATGGGGAGCTGGCACTGTTGTGGTCATGTAGGCCAGGAGAGGATGCTGCCCGGCTCTTTGGCTTTCATCCGCAGCGCCACGAGGCCTGTTGGCTTGTAGTCGGTCTCAGGCCCCTCGATGGAAGGGGGCCCGAGGCCTCCTGGGAAGCTGTGGAGTGAATAGAGGCCGTTGATACCCGGATGGTGTGATGGGTGGTGGTGGTGAGGATGGCTGGGGGACGCCGGCATGCCCATGAAGCCCTGCAGATTGCTGTGGGGGTGAGGGTATGGACTCATGCAAGACGAGGGGAGGGAGTCGGCTCCTAGGACGCAGCCAGCACCTGAGCCACCGCCTCCTCCTGAAGCCGCCCCAGGCCACAGGTTGCCCTGCATCTGGACGTGGAGACATTTAGGATAGGACAAATTTGGAATCTGATGGAATGAACATGAAAATGCTTTGCTGTGAAAACCAAATCAAGACAGTAACAG